AACCACGTGATTATCTCCATGCAGAAAAAGCATTTGGCAAATTCTAACATCTGTTCCTGATAAGAATGCCTTTGGGAGATGTGTTTTGCTGGCTCTGAGGTCTGCAGCTTTGCGGTCTCTCTCTACTTTCTCCTACATGTGCCCTGCTTGCTCTCTACTGCTTCTGGAAATTCTTCAGCTACTTTATTTTTTTTTCTAGTTTCACTGAAACTGAAATGGAGTTTTCATTTTAACTTTGATGACTTTACCTGCCATCTTGACACTAAAAGGGCCAAAGATTCATGCAAAGTATAAAACAGGGCAAAGGTCAAATAATTACCAGTGGCTAATGGATTCATTATTAGCTAAATGACCCCACGTGCACGAGGCAACCTCTGACCTCTGACCAGAGGTTTCCATATACCAGGACAGTATTGGAAGGCTATAATCACATCCACGTAATACATATCCTACCAGTTTTGACAGGTAAAGTAATATTTCCTCCCTCTAACAGGACAGCTCTGTATACAATCATGTATCCCGAAAAAGGGTCATGAAAACACACCACTAGTGCCAAATGATGCAAGTATAAAGTAGGCTTTATTAGAGGGAAAATTTACAAGTAGAAAATAGTGGAGCGTATGCAATCCTTCGATTCTATTCCACAGCTTAGGCAGGGCATAGAGGGTCCATGCACTGCAGCCAAACATCACAATCAAGGGGAGCCCCTTCCCCTTAATTTTTCACATATTTACAGTGATGGGGTTGGGTGAAGCACAGATCTGCTATGACACTAAGGGAAGCTCCCTGGTCAGAAAGGGGAGCTCTGCGGGCCTGCAGCTGGTGTCTGCCTATGATTAGCCAACTCAGACCTGCTGAACAAGTTCTCCACCAAATGACCGAAATGAAGGAGAAAATGAGCCTCCGGGATTTGTCCCTCTTCAGATGCTTTGGAGGTATGATTTTATATGTCAGTCACCTGAATTTATATATTCCCCCAATCACGCTTTAATGGATTTTTTTTTACTATGTTAATTTTGCTTGCTGCTCAAAATGAAGACAGTTGCCTTAGAGCTATAACCTCACTGGGTCTCCATTGCCTTATCTCTTAAAAAAAGAGGGGCGGGCGGTGGAGGTCGCTGGTATTTGATAATTGCTGTCCTACCACAGGTGAATTTAAAAAGATGTGATGCCATTCCTAAACACTTTGTGCTGCTTTCATACCCTGAAATCTAGCTCTCAGCCCCATCACATTGACTGGAACGGGCTGACCTTTGAGTCCCTTTCAATCTTGAAAGTGAGTTGACTAGCAGGGCAGTTATTCCCATAATTTTAGTGAGAATAATTAACCACCAGAGGGTAGTCAGGTTACAGGGCGTTAAGGGGTGAAGGTAGCAAGGGATACATTCAAACAAGGGGCACCTGTGACGTTTAAAATTCTTATTTCCATTCAGTTTCACAAAATTTTATTGCCTGCTAAGATTACGATAAGCGCTGTGGAAGAAAGGAAAAGTGAAGGTGAGTATGGGAAGGTTGAGATTCAGGTAATGGGTTTGCCGTTTTAGGTAGGGTGCTTGGAATAGGACTTTGGAGGGAACATTTGTTCAAAATTGAGGTGAGGGAATAGGCCACGTGGTTCTCTGGGGAAACAGCATTTCAGGCGTAGAGGACAGACATGAGAAGGACCCTGGTATTTGATAAGGTAAAAGGGGGCAGACGATGCAGACACTGGTTTTTACTCTGGGTGAAATGGGGAGCCATTGCAGGAGTTTGAGCAGAGGAAGGACATTTTTAAACGGTCACTCTGGCTGCAGTGTTAAGAATCGTCTCCAAGAGACTTATTTCCCGTAGAAGCTTCCAAATATTGTGTGTCAGCTCATCAAAAAGCACAGTGAATGACAGTTAAAGGCAACCACGTTCTGTCACCATTTAGCTAATAGGAGCCAATTCACACATAACCTCACTGTGTCAGGTGCCAGGCATTGCCAAGAACTTTACACATTTTCTCACTTCATCCTTCCAATACCTCTGTGAGATCATCACCACTATTCTACTTTAAAGGTAAGAAAAAGAAGATTGTAAAACTTAGTGACTGGTCCAAAGTTTAGATGAAGTAAATGGAATTCTTGAAAGCTAAACCTTGAAAAACTCTACTTGCTAATGTGAAGAAACACTGCCTAAGCAAGGCTTAGAACCCCAGTGCTGAAGAGCTAAAGATGGTGTTTGCGGGGTCGGGGAGAGAAGCACAGGTGTTTGCCTTCAACCATCACGCACTTCTTTTTTAAAGTTCCGTGTAGCCGTTACACCACAAACCTACTGACACCGTAACTGGACTGACTTTGGTGTTGTTGATTTCTAAGAGTCTCTCTAGAGCTTCGCCCCTGTGTGGTCTGCTCTGTACACATTTGGGCTCTTAGGGAAGCTGCTCCCATCACTGAACTGACTTCTCTTTAGGTGGTACTGAGACCATGGGTCAAATCCATTTCACCTGCCTTTACTCATCAAGGTCGTTTTAAGGCTGCATGTCCTCCAGGTGGCCCGTGGCCTAAGCTATAAAGTAACGGGGATGGGGCGGGTGCACAGCCATCAGTGCAAGGGCAAGGCCTTAGTGCGTGACTGTCCGTGGTCCCGCTCTGCCAACGGTCAGCATCGCAGTGGTCCTGGTGGTGGCAGTCACCCTGGGTCACAGTCTGTGGGACCCAACTCTGTTTGGGGGGCCTGAGGAGCCTGAGGGCTGGCTGGGTGCTGGGTGCCTGGCTCCCTCAGTGATGACGGCGGGGCTGAGCCTGGGGACCCGGCCCTGAAGGTGCTTCCAGCTGAGACCTGCCTGTTCAGCTGAGTCTGGGTGAAGACCAGAGGACCCACACCCGGGTGCTGGATGAACGCACCCAGCGAGGGTACCCGGCCCACACAGCGACCCCCTCTTCTTAGGACCTGGGCCTCAGAGGACTGAAAGTTGAGCCTTAGGACTTTGACCAAGTAAAATGAGGGGTACTGATGTTACTTTGCTTACGGGATTTGTTACCTTTAGGAGTATTACACCTTTAGATATAAAGTTGTAGAACAGAGGATAACATTTGTTTTGATGGAGGTTTACAGGAACATAGTGACCTGACCGTGACCTGATCTACATGGACAGCTGCAAGAACAAAGGATCGGACACCAAGAAGTTTTCAACAACTAACCACAGCCCTCCCTCACCTTTCCTGTAAAAGGGTTTTTTAAACCACCTGTCTCCTTGCATGGCCCTGCAATAAACCTTTCTCTGCTTCAAACTCTGACATTTCTGTATTGCTGGGCTCGCTGTGCGTTGGGCACAGGGACTCGCGTTCGGTAACAGTAAGATGTTTGCCCGAGTTGTTTTGCAGGAACTTGGAATCAGCTGTGTCTAGTTTGAGCTGAGTTGGTTAAGACTAGATGGGACCACTGACCCTCCAACTGGGCATGCGTGAGTTTCTGCTTGGTGATCTTTTGAACGTGCAAAGGCCTGTAGCTTAGTTACACCTGCGTAGAATGACCTTCCCACACCTTTTCCCAATCACCTTTCCCATGACTCTGATCTTCCTGCTTCTTTTTTAGCCCATAAGTATCCCAAGCCTCTTTCAGGGAAGCTGATTTGAGACGGTTCTCCCTCTCTTTGCTGCAAACCTTGGTGTCTCAGCGTTTGGCTTGCTATGCATTGGACAAAACAAACCTGGCTCGGTAACAGTTCCTCGCAAACCCAAGTGGTTTAAAAACCCACTCAGGGCTTCCCTGGTGGCGCAGTGGTTGAGACTCTGCCTACCGATGCAGGGGACGCGGGTTCGTGCCCCGGTCCGGGAAGATCCCACATGCCGCGGAGCGGCTGGGCCCGTGAGCCATGGCTGCTGAGCCTGCGCATCCCGAGCCTGTGCTCCGCAACGGGAGAGGCCACAACAGTGAGAGGCCCGTGTACAGAAAAAAAAAAAAAAAAAAAAAATAACCCACTCATCTGGTGCTGCTTGGAGGGCTGTCCCTGAGACCAGTGCTGGTCTGTGACAAGGTAAGCAGAGAAAGTGTTTATAAACTTTAATAGCTATTTTAAAGAGTAATTTTGTCTGCTGAGTCTAAAAACTTGGGGCTTGTATATCTTGTTTTTAAACTTCAGTTTTCAAAGAATTTATAGTGTTTTAACTGAGAGGCTGAATATACAGACAGTGGTCGACCATATATGAAAATAGAATGGACCAACAACCTGCCTAGGAAAACAACCCCTTATCCACAAAAACCAGCCTAGGAAGCCAGCCTGACTGCTAGCTGTAGAAACCACCCAGGAAGTGGAACAATAACTACTGTAGCAACTGGCCTGGACTTGATTAGTAACTTACAGCTTTCCTAATTTGTATCCCTGCTTTTCAACTTAGGACCAGCCAGAGAAAGCCAGAGGTGGCTAACGGATCACATAGGACACCCGGCTTTTCCTCTACCTGCAGCTTCCCCATGCCAGCAGCCTCCCACGAGGACATACCTGAAGCCTTCCCTTTTTTTCCACTATCAACCTTTCCCCTCCTCTGCCTGCCTTTGAGTTTCTGCCCAAATAGAAGTGATAGTGGGGCTGACTCTCTCGTACAGCAAATTCTCAATAAGTTGCTTTACACTTCTCATTTGGTTGGTCATTTATTTCCACATACCAGGAAAAAGGAAATAAAAACAAAGCAGGGGTCTGCCACCGCAGACAGATTAAGGAGCACCATCCTGGGGTCTGCGATCACCTCCAGGGTAGGGTTGGGGAGAGCATCCCGGGCACTCACCGCCCGGGACAGCGGGAGTAAGGTAGTCGCGAGGTTCTCCAGACCAGGAATGAGTAGGGGGAGCAGGGAGACGGGTGCGGGAAATGGGCGGGGAGCTTGAGATGCTAGATTGACTTGCGTCCCGTTACTTCACGTGTCTGGGTTGCAGAGTCTGCAACCCCACGGCGTGTGGGGTGGGGGGGTGGAGCTTCCGCGCAGACTCTCGGCGCACGCGCACTCTCGGCACCGCCCCGTGGAACGGAGCTGACGTCACGTCCGGCGGACGCCGCGGCTGCTGGTATTATCTCCTGGGCGCGGGTGTTCAGCCGTCTCCCTCCGCCCGGCGGGCCCTGGGCGGTCGGCAGGTCAGCGCGCCGGGTCAGGTTTCCGCTGCCTCGCCGGAGCACTTAGTCTGAACCTGGGTGTGGTTTCCACTACTAGAGGTGAAGCATAATAGGGAGAGTGGGACCTGGGGTCTTGGATCAGGGTGTGTTTACTTTTCCCGTCAGGTGGGCGCTGCTGGGCAGCAAGGAAACTTACTTTATTTCCTCCCGGAGGACGCGTTTGCTGTTGAATTGCAGTCAGAGGATGGTGTCCTTAGACGGCAGCCACCGAATCGCCTTGCAGCTGTTTGGATGCTGCTTTTAAATAAACCCCACCTTATTTAGTGTTTTAATGCTTTGGAATCCTGCTTTTAAAAAACGTTTGGTCCTAAGAGCTCAGTACCCTGTAGAATTCCTCAACCTAAACGAATTCTATTCTTTCCTGTGCCCGAATCGTCTCAGTGAGGATCTTGTCAATAAGGAACACCTTGGCTGTCTAGAACTAAACCCTCCCCTAGCCCCTGGGGACATCTCGGAATTTCTAAAACCTGAGGGTTATGCTCTGCACCGACGCTTTAAGCGTTTGGGGCAGGCAGTGGTATATTTTTTGGAAAATGCATTACATCCATTCTGTTCTTAAAACACAGACCTAATTTGACCTTTTCCTGATGACTTGCCTTCAGTCCTACTGAAGGTTATTGTGAAAGAACCAGAGAGACCAGCGAACTTTTTGAGTTCTGATGCCAGATTCTAAGTCATTATTTTGTCTCCAACTCTGTGATATCACTTGTCAACCGGCTACATTCCTGCCCCTCTTCTGGTTTATAATTTAATGCTTAATCTGTTGTGGGTTTTGAATTCACAATTACATATGATAGAATTGTGTTTAAAGGAAAACTAAGTGAGGAACTTGGGTTTGTGGGTTTTTTGTTTTTTTTTTTACTCTTTATAACTTAGTTTTTTGTTTTACAAAATGCCCATTTTAGAAAAGACAGCTAAGCCAAAGAAAGAAAATTAAAATCATCTGGAATCCTGCCTAAAGATAACCATTGTTAACATTTCGGAATACTCTTAATTTAAAAAAAAATTTTAAAACAGTCGTCATGTATATTTGGTAATCCCTTTTTGCATGACATTTTTGTCTTCCTATTTCAGTAACTTTTTTCTTTGAACGTATGTAACGGCTGCAGAATATACCATTGTGCTAGGTTCTCTCCTAATAGGAGTGCTAAGGCATGAACCTTGTGCCATCTGTTACAGCAGCTCAGAGGACTTTTGTTTTATATCTTGGTTTTTGGCCAAGGTGCAAAGGTGAGGTGATGTTAGGGTGTGTAAAAGGGAAGGTTTAATACTGAGTTCTATGCAAGGGCAGGCCATTTATCATAGTGTATCAGATTCATGGAAAAGTTGGAGAAAATCATTCAGTTTTTCATCAATTCTTCATTTGTTTTTAGGCTCACTTTTTTCTGCTCCCTATTCTGTCCCTCCAAGAATGAAACATGACTGAGGACTCCCAGAGAAACTTCCGTTCAGTATATTATGAAAAAGTGGGGTTTCGTGGAGTTGAAGAAAAGAAATCATTAGAAATTCTCCTAAAAGATGACTGTCTGGGTGAGTTTTATAAGTTAAATTTACCTTATTGGTTCTCAGTCATTCCCAGGTCTTCTGAAATTAAATGTTACCTTTAAAGATGTCCAGAGGTATTGGTTACCTGCCGTATTTTTTTAGTGATAGGATGGCAGCAGAATGGCATATTTTGGGAGAAGTTAAGGATTTTTCAAGTTTATATTTCACGGAGTCAGAGCCAGACCTTTTTGAAAGGCCTTTTTAGAAGTTAGTAACATTTTTTTCTCTTATTAGGCCCATGTACTTTCTTTTCTCAATTTTCAGAGGTGTCATCATAGCTTCTGGGTAAATTTGCAGTAACTCTTGCCATGATTTTCTTTTATGGATAATACTGAAACTGCATTATATATTGACATTTTTATTCTAAGCCAGTCATAATAAGGTCTGTTCTATTGCTAATTAAAGTAGAATAAACCGAGCCATAGTTAAAAACAGTAGTTTAAATGCATAGAGTGTTTTAAAGTTTCAAAAACATTTCCCACCTGATCTTTGATCCTCACTAGGCAGTCTGTGTTGTAAGTATTATAATTCTCACTTGACAAGTAGGGAAATTGAGGCCCAAGATGGTTGAATGTGGCTTACTGGTGAATGGGGGGATTTGCAGGCTGACTGTGCCACTCACCGGCGATGTAAACTTAAAGTCACAAACTGCTCTGAGCTTCAGTTTCTGCATCTTTGAAACAATAACTACCCAACAAGCTTGCGATGTGGATAAATGAAATAAGTTCTATAAATAGTAACTACTGCTGATATTATAGTGAATGTAGTAATATATGCAAAATGCATCTCCTACACCATGAAACACTAATTGTTTTTAAATAGCTAGTTGGGGAAAAAAATACATAGCTAGTGGGAACACCTGGGCTGGAAGTCAGTCTAGTGTTACCTTTCCTAGATTTGCTGATTGTATAGCAGCCTGCCTCTGAAGAGATGTCTTACTATACTTTTGGTTTTCAGACATGAAATGCATCTTTACCTATTGTGATCAGCATGAAAAGCATCTAATCGTTTTGTGTTTTTTTTCTTTTCCTTCCTCTAGATATTGAGAAACTTTGTACTTTTAGTCAGAGGTTCCCACTCCCATCCATGTACCGTGCATTGGTCTGGAAGGTGCTTCTAGGTATGATTTCCAAGAGTTGGAAGCTTTATCTTCAAAAATGTTGAACGATGGGATCATTGGCATCTTATCAGTCAGAAAAAGGATTTCTTTAGGCCTTTTACTGGGTACTGGGTCTAACCTCGGGAGCCTGAATTACCACTCACTTTGGAAGCCTGGAAGGAGGTGACCTTCAGAGGCGGTCCACTGCGTGTCACTCTTGAGTGTCAGGTGACATTAGAAGAGACAGTGGCGCACCTTCCTGAGACAAGGTGTGGGAAGAACATTGGGCCGGGAGAAAGGCGAACTGGTCTGGGCTTTACTGTCAGCTTAGTAACCTTCCAGAAGATGCCAGTAGGCCTCTTTTTTTTTTTTCCTTTTTTTCTTTCATCTGTAAAATGAGGATATTGAGCTAAATTAACTCCTAGGGTTTAGCTCTTGATTTGTTAGTCTGTGACTCCCAGCTGTAGAGGTATAACTTCCTAAGGAGTGCTGTCAGAATCAAAAAAAAGGAATTGAAGAGTTTTTACTTCCTAGAAGTGCAAATGAATAACTTACAGTGAAGAGTGGCTGAAGGAGAAGGAAAAACAGCCTCGCTCAGTTTCTGTGGAAGAAAACGTGTACTAGGTGCCCCAAGTGACTGGCAGTATGCCTTTTGAACTAAGGATTTTTTTTTTCTATTATTGCTGAGCCTGCTGATGTAGAAAATACCCATCCATTACTACCCTCCTTTTCTTTCTTTAAAAAAAAACAAAAGTTAGGATAATCCTAGAATTCCCTTGTGAGGCAGGTATCAATATTGCAATTTTACCGATGGGGAAAAAGGACTGAAGCGAAATAACTTGCCTGAGGCCTTATAGCCTGTGAGTGGCAGAGCTAGGATTTGAGCTCAGGTTTGTAGAGCCCATTTGAAGTTAGGCTAGATTTATAGACCTTGTTTTCTTTCCAAGATGTACTATATTTTCAGGACCTGAAAAATCTGGAGTCCCGAATCTGATTATGTAAGGTGGAGCCAGCAAGGGAATGCAAGCCGTGCTAGAAAGCACTGTGCATTTTGCCTTTTTTGTTGTGCCTCTTGCCAGCCTTTGTACACTTACTTTTCTAATAGGTCACCGTGCGGTTAAAATATAGAGAATGTGTGAAAACGACCTCAGTTTTTCCCTGAGTATTTTAAAAATATTAGTGTTTCCAGTGCCCATCAAAGTAAATGCCTTCCAGGGGTGCCTTTTAGGTGGGAATGTCAATCATATTTATATCTGCTGAGAAAGACTGTGTGTCTTATTAACTGATAATGCCAGTGGGTTAGTATGAGATGGACAGTTGTACTTTGCAGCTGAGTGCCAAGGGCTGTCAGGCTGTTCATCACCTGTCTTTTTCGTGGCTTGCTTTATGAGGTGAGTCTCCCTTGTTCTAGCCGTTAAAGGCACTCGAGGGACTTCCCTGGTGGCGCAGTGGTTAAGAATCCGCCTGCCAAGGCAGGGGACACGGGTTCAAGCCCTGCTCTGGGAAGATCCCACAGGCTTCAGCACTGCTGAGCCCGTGTGCCACAGCTACTGAAGCCCGCGTGCCTAGAGCCTGTGCTCTGCAACGAGAAGCCACTGCAATGAGAAGCCCGCCCACCACAATGAAGAGTAGACCCTGCTCACCACAACTAGAGAAAGCCCACGCACATTAATTAATTAATTATTTATTTAAAAAGGCACTCGAGATTTAGAGCTGCCACACTATATTGGGAGTTTGTTTCCAACGTTAACCTCCCACCGTGTTAGTCTTCTGAGCTCATCCAAGTTACGTTTCCCAGAATGTTCTTTAGAATACTGGATCTGTGGTAGTTTGCACCAAAGAGAGATCCATAGTCAAGTGTACTAGCTAATAACACTTACACTAGCTTAGTATGTGCCATGTACTTTTAGTGTTTTATGTATGTTACTTTGTTGAGTCAGCATTAGAGTTGTGTGAGATGGGTATTATTCTTCCCATTCTTCAGATGGAGAAGCTAAGGCACAGGAAGATCAAGTAAGTTGCTGAGGGTCACCCTGCCGGTTAACTGTAGAGCTAGACTTCAGACCCAGGAACTTTGACTCTGGAGCTTGGGCTACGGTACAGTTTCATGAAGTTTAATGAGGCTGGGGGAAATAAAGCAAGATGTTTTTCTTTATAGCAAAACTTAAAGCCTTAATTTCATTGTCACCACTTCCCAAATCTATTTGACTCTGGTACCCTTTTTCTCATGAAGACCCTTGGGGCTCATGTTCTGCAGAGAACATCTGGTGAAATGCTTACCCATCCCATTTCCTGCCTTTGGAAGATAAGGAGACAAGTCCCCGGAGAGACATTTGTGAGCATCTTGGTGTTAACACCTCTGGGACTAGTTGACTGAAGGCCCATCCAGTGCTCTTTCCAGTGTGTTTTCTCCATGCCATTTGTTTGTATTTTAAAAAATGTGGTTCTTGGCCCAAAGTCTAATGAGAAGACATCATGTTTAAATATATTAATGAGCATAAAATGGCATTGAAATGTAATATAAGGTCACTTTGGTAGTGAAAATTAGAGGTTTTTTTTCCTTCTGAAGAGACTTTAGGACTTTGAGCAAGTTTTAGTTGTTGGGGAAGAAAAGGATTTGACCACTTGGTGGTGGTTCTAAGATGAAGGGGGCTGTGTTGTCAGCTACAGCTCCCTTAACAAAATACCACAGACTGGGTGGCTTAAATAACAATTTATATCCTCACAGTTCTGGAGGCTGGGAAGTCCAAGATCAAGGTGCTGGCTGATTTTGTTCCTGGTGAAGCATCACCTCCTGGTTTGCTGTGTCCTCACACGGCAGAGAAAGAAACCACACCAGCTCTGGTGGCTCTTCCTTTTCTTACAAGGGCACTAGCCCTGTTGGATTAGGGCCCCACCTTATGACTTCTTTTAACCTTAATTACCTCCTAAAGGCCCTGTTGCCAAATATAGTCACATTGGGGGTTAGGGCTTCAACATATGAATTGTGGAGGTTGGGGGATGGGAACAATTCCATATTAGGGGCCAAGCACAGCAACTGGAGATAGGCCTTTAGCAGCTAAGGGTGGCCCAAGGCTGACAGCCGTAAACTTGAATTAAATCATTATTGTAATTGGTGTGATTTATCTTGAATTTATGTGGCACATTTATTCAAAGCCTTTATGATGTCGTTTCATTTCTCTTTAATATCAATGATATAATTGCCATTCGAATATTGATAGTATTTAAAATTTGATTTATAGTGTGAATTTCTAAAAGATAATCTATACGGTAACTAAATATTTGTGAGTTCTAGTCTAATTGTGGTAGGCAGCTTTGCACAGGATTCTCTTTCATAGAAGAGGAATTTGGATTGGTGCCTCAGTATTTTGCCCTCTTTTTTTCTTTTTTTCCCCCCCGCCCCGGGTCTCTATAGGCATCTTGCCTCCACACCATGAGTCCCATGCCCAGGTGATGATGTATCGCAAGGAGCAGTACTCTGATGTCCTTCACGCCCTGGAAGTCATTCGCTTTATCAGTGATGCCACACCTCAGGTTGAAGTCTATCTCTACATGCATCGGCTAGAGTCTGGGAAGTTGCCTCGAAACCCCTCCTTTGCACTGGTCAGTGGTGCTTTTGTTTGACCCTTGGTTCAGCTTTAGACCTGCTCCGTCTGCCAGCCTTTGTTTGCATTATGTTTCACCTTAGAAACTTTCCATGGCTCTTTGTAGAATAGAAGCAACACATCTTTCCCAGACATTCATAGCCCTGTACGTTTTGACCCAATCTCCCTAATGTTTTAAAATTTTGTTTTGAAGTAATTTCAAAGTTATAGAAAAGTTGCAAGAATACTATCAAGAAATCCCATATATCCTCTATCTCGGTTCCCTAGTCATTAACATTTTACTATGTTTGCTTTCTCACTTTTCCTATATATGTATACATATTTTTCTTCCAAACCAGTTGAGAATGAGACGTAGACGCGGCATCCCATTCCTTCAGATTCCTGCAGTGTATACTTGCCAAAGATGGGAACACTCCCCTAGGCGACCATAGTTCTGTCATCAACACCAAGGAGTTGACATTGACATAGTATTAACATCTAATCTTCAGACTCCATTCCCGTCTGACCAATTGTCCCAATAATGCCCTTTATCTAAACAATAAAAGTTATGGTTCAGAACTTATCAAACTTTCAACTACTAGTTTTACCATTTGTTGACGATTAAAAAATTTTTTTTTGTTTTAATTCTTCATTTTAAGATAGTAGAAAAAAGTTGCATAAAGAGTTAAGTGTTCCCATATACCTTCACCTAGCATCCTCAAATGTTACATCTTAATTATACTCTGGTTACTTATCAAAACCAGAGAATTAGCAGTGATACAATACTATAATCTATAGGTGTTATTGAAATTTTGCTGACTGTCCCACCGATGTCCTTTTTCTGGTCCAGCATCCAACCTGGGATCATACATTATGTTTACCATGTCTTAGTTGCCTTTAATCTGGAACAGTCCCTCCGTCTTGCTCTTTCATGACCTTGACAGTTTTGAAGAGTACTGGCCAGTAGAACATTTCTCAATTTGGGTTTGTGTGTTTCCTCATGATTAAAATCTAGTTATGCGTTTCTGGCAGGAATTCCACAGAAATATGATACTTATTGCTCTTGCTGCTAACTTTGATCACTTGGTTAAGGTGGTGTCTGCCAGGTTTTTTCAAGGTAAGGTTGCTGTTTTCCCTTTGTAATTAATAAGTAACTTGTGGGGAGGTACTTTGAGACTGTGTAATTATCAATCCACTGACTCTGGCCTGAAACAATTTTTACTGTGTTGATTGCCAAATGGTGATCTTCTAACTCCTTCGTTCCTTCTGAATTTATTCGTTGACTTTTCTGTAAGGAAGAGTTTTCCCTTCTCCCTCATTTATGTATATCAGTATGAATTTATAGATTCCTCTTTTATTCAATGGCCTATAATTCATTACTACCATTATTTTGATGTTAAAATTGTCCCATATTTAGCCAGCGGGAGCCTCTTCAAGCTGACTTCTGTGCCTTTTATTTTTTTTATTTTTTATTATTTTGTGGTACGCGGGCCTCCCACTGTTGTGGCCTCTCCCGTTGCAGAGCACAGGCTCTGGACACGGAGGCCCAGCGGCCATGGCTCACGGGCCCAGCCGCTCTGCAGCACGTGGGATCTTCCTGGACCGGGGCACGAACCCGTGTCCCCTGCATCGGCAGGCGGACTCTCAACCACTGCGCCACCAGGGAAGCCTTGTGACTTCTGTGTCTTTTTGACAAGTTCCCATCATTTTGAGCACTTTCTTACTTTCTGGCACAAAAAGATATTCCAGGCTCATTTTGTACTTTCCCTACCCCAGGCTTGGAATCAGGCTTTTTTTTTTTTTTTGGAGTATTATAGTTAGAAACCAAGAACAGGGTGCTAGGTATATTCATTGTCCCTGGTGTGTCATTGCCTCTAGGCCCTCTCAGCAGACAGCTAGGAAATCTACACACACCTATATGTTTATATATCTATTTATTTCTATATTGAAGACCCTGAGTTAATGTCAGAAGTGCCAATTCCTTTCTAATATCACAAGTTCATTTTAGCCCTCACCCTTTTTATATTTGCAACTTCCTTCTCTGGCAGTGACAGTGAGGCTGATGGAAGCCTCTTCTTATTTGTATTTATTTCTTTGCTCGTTCCTCTGTCTGTGACCAACACGGCCGGCCACCTCTCTGGCCCTGGCCTGCAGGCCGCACAGGCCTTGTAGTCACTGGCTGCCTCCTTGGCCCTGACCCCTCCTTGGCCTCAGGCCCACAGGCTCCAGCCTGCTTTATAGATTTCACCTTTGACAAACCGCTCACTCTAGTTTCTTGGACTGCTTATTGTTTATAAAGGGAAGAGAGGGGGAGTGGAGGAGGGCAGGCAAAGTAATGACTATAGCTCTTGGGCTTTGGCTATTTTAATACAACTTGCAGTTCACTCTAAGCATTTTAACTTTTGGCTAAAACAGAGTGAGTTGTTCGGAAGAGGGATTTGCCTGCAAACTGCTGTTCTGTAATTTTTTTGGTGGCTGTTGAAGATTGCAGTGTGCTGGCACAGCAGTTTGGACTTCGACTTGTTCTTTCTTTTTGAGGCTGCTTTGGGTCCCATGGGCAAATCTTAGGTCGTCCACTCTGATGAAGTTTATCAAGAGAGAACATTCCTGAAAATAGTTGGAACCCTCAAACTTTAAATTTTATTTCCCATTGGCAGAATGCAGTTAGCTGATAGTACTACACAAGTTCCTAAACTGTATATGAAGTTAGGTTAGATTATCCATTAGCTCAAGAGATCTAGATGGTAGGTTATCGTTTCCACCTCATCCCTGTTCAGCTTTCCAGGCTTGAGGTCCAGGCACCTGTACCGTGGCCTCAGGCTGACGTGCTGTCCAAGTTTTGTTCTGGGCTCAAGCCTCCTTGGTCACCAAGCCCTAGAGGCTGTATTTTCCTTATCTTTTAATGAGACTTGTGTGACAGTGCTCGGCACAGGGCTGGGCACATAGAAGCTGACTTCAGCTGGAGGGCGCTGGTCCTCTTGGCTGTGTCTCAGAGTAACTGGGAGCAACGTTGAGATGCCAGGTTCAGGAGCACCCAGCACAGCGCCAGGGCCGGGTGGGAGTCCACGAAAGGAGACTTTCTGCTGTTCTTGACATTTTGTAGAATGTTCATCAGTGGATAGGAGGCCTAAAATGCAATACTTCTGTTAAAATAGGTATTTTGGTTTTAAGTTGGGACTTCTTAGGGGAGTAGAAGGAAGCTTTTTAGTTTCTTTTCAATGTTTAAAACCCTTCAGCTGTTAAATCCTAGATGAAAATGTAAAGCTTTTGGTGTAAGATATGGTGTTAGAAAACAGATTTTTCAAGTGGATTCCAGTTTTTATGAGATTTCTTTCGAAACTTACTTGAGGGTTTGCTTTCATGCTCTGAGTATTGACACAGGGTTTGAGAAATGCCATTCTTCTGAGTCCTAAAATTCCGATTCTAGGGTCATTTTTAGCTTTTTAGGTGCTTAAAGATAGAACAAAAATTTAAAGCTATGTCTGAATGCTTTGAAATAAAATGCTTATTAGTCCTTTTGGGGTCATTTAATGTTTGCAAATTACTGACAGAGGTCTCCAGTTGTTTGCTGTTTATCACTTCTGTTTGAAAGGAATTCTCCTCCAGTGCAGAGAATACTCTGGGGTGTAGAGTCAGCCCTTGCTCAGGGTTTGTGTTGACTCTTTGACCTTAATGTTAGAAGCTGAAAAATCTCTGAATGTTCAGCTTGAAAGCTGAGTGTTCAGAAGCAGCGCTGACTCAGATTCCTCTGGTTACTCATCCTCATGTCCCCTTGGTCATCTTGTTAGTGAGGGACTGTGCGCTTTCGGTCCCACTTTGATTTATTGCAGGTCCTTCAGAATCTAGGGAGCAAGGCTTCATTATTATTAAAGAATTCTGTATTTCTCTCTTCTACCTCCCTCTTGAGAGTTATTAATCTTGCAGGAGCCAGAAGATGAAGTATTTCTTGCCATTGCTAAAGCCATGGAAGAGATGGTGGAAGATAGCATTGACTGTTACTGGCTCACCCGATGCTTTGTGAACCAACTGAATAACAAGTACCGGGATTTTCTACCCCAGCTGGTGAGGGATGCTGTTATGGCTATTTTGGGGTGGGCGTGAGCAATGGTAATGGGGGTCCTCAGGAAATGGCCTTTACCTCCTGGTGCTGCTACCATTATGCGTGGACCCTCTGGTGGGAATCAGCAGATACCTTCTGTAAAAGGCCAGATGGTAAATGTTTCCAGCTTGGGGGACTGGGTGTGTATGTCTCTGTTGCAAGCACACAGCTCTGCTGTTGTCACACAAAATACGTAAAAGCACGGTTGTGGCCGGATTTGGCCTCTGCAGGCTGTAGCTGGCCCACCCCCCACTCTATGGTATTCCTTATCTTGATCCAGAATCCCCTGACTTTGGCTAGAATTACCCGTCTGTACTAAGGTTTAAGTTTGGCTGTGTAGAATGGGAAGCCCAAGTAACAGAGGCTTTGTCTTCTCTCACGTAAGCAGAAGTCTGGAGGCGAGGCAGCCCAGGGCTGGTGCCACAGCCATTGTATGGCCAGGGACCCAGGCTCGTGTCCTCCTGTACTAGCCTTCTTAGGTGTGATCCTTCCTCTCGTGATCCCATGACAGATGCTGGAGTGACAGCCATGACGTCCCTTTTCTAGGCAGGAAGGGAAAAGCAAAGACGAAAGTAAAGGAGGAGAAGTGACAAGCCAGGCCAGCCTGGCCCCCTTAAACAGACTTGCCTTCTGCATGACTATTGGCGGGCAGGACTGTGTCACCAGGCCGCCCCAGTTTGCAGTGGAGCCTGGGAAATGTGGTCGGTTCGTTTTAGCCGGGCACACTGTGATCTCACATTAGAGTCGGGACTCTGTGAGGAAGACAGCTGGTGGTCTGTACACTCTGACTTGGGAATCTGGAGACCAGCGCTTATGTCATCAGCACAAGCCAGGGGTCCTTTGCCCAGTGTTTTCCCTCATTTTATAAAAACGAGTCTTTTCTCTTAAGTCATTGAATTGTTTCACTTGGACATTCTGTTGAAAGCAGTAACCGTGTACAGGACGCAGGGTCAGGTGCGGGGCACAGGTCAGCCGAGCCCTGGAGATCCATCCCTGCTGTGTCCGTTAGGGTGGTCGGCGAGACTCTTCGGCCCTCCGTTTCCCAGGGCACTGAACAGGAGTGTTTTTTATGTACTTGCATTAAGTAAAATTTGATTTTAGAATTTTGAAATTTAATTCACTTAATTTCAATAAATAAAAGCATGGCATTGGAGCATATGGAAATGAAATGTTAGCTGCCTAATTAAATCAAGAGGTGCGAATCATACTGTGATTTGCTTATTATTGGAGTAAATGCAGTAGCATTTTGATAGTTCATTTAAAAAGTCATTATTTTTAATAACATAAGTAACAGATGCATTCTCGAAGTATTAAGTAATCCAAGTGAATCCAGTGTTGTCACAGACCTGCACCAGCGCCTCCCCTCCCCCACTTTCTAAGACGTGGGCATTGTCATCAGCTTGGTGTGTATTTGTCTAGACTATTTTATGTGCATTGGAATGGATGGGGTTGCGAGTGCATTCCCATGAACACGTGTGTGTGTATATGTATATAACATATATATATAATTTTTTTTTAATGTAAGTATTATACTGTTCATACGGCCCTACAATTCTTTTTAAAAATTAATGTCTGGGAGCTTTTCCATGTCAATACGCATAGGTAGTTTTCAGCCCTGACTTCCTATTAGTACCACCTGTGAGCTCTTAAAAATGACCAAACCAATGAAATCAGAATCTTCAGGGGGTGAGGCCCCAGAATTCTACTTTTTTAAAACTCCAAGTGATTCTGAAATGAGGCTAGGATTGAGAGTCGCTCATTTAGAACCACTTTAAAAAGTTCTCATAGTATTTTCTGTTAAGAATTTGCCCTAATTTAATGTAAAGGCTCCATGCTGACAGTCCCACTCCGTGTACGTGATGTGTTCCCATGTGTGTATGTGTGTGTGTGTCTCTAGGGTGGGTTACCTATACAACAGATGCTCAATTGCAAGAGACATACTTAAATTTGTTAACTACCAGGTTACTTACCCAGAAGTTGTACCAGTTTTGCTTCCCCCAACAGTTTATGAGATTTCCTGTTTTCCACCCCATTGCCAGTACTTGATAGTATCACTCTCTTAACATTTTTCCAATCTGATAGTGAAATCGTAGCCCATTTTAATTTCCATTGCCTCATTTTTGAGTGAAGTTAAGCAGCTTTGGGTATGTTTATTGGTCATCATATTTGTCTACCTTTCTATTTCGTTTCCATCTTTCCTTTTTTTTTTTTGGTAAGAATTATTGCTATGTGCTGGATATTTATCCTTTGTTAAGTAAGTTAAATATTTTCTCTGAAAATATTTCTCCCTGTTGTGTAAAGATGTAAAGGTTTGATACCATTGGATTTATCAGTATTTCTTTTGCTGTTTTGTATCGCAGTTAGGAAGCCCTTTCTAATCCCGAGATTTAAAAACAAGTTTTTAAAAAGCTTCTAACTTTTAAAAATATTTGAATATTTTAAAATTTAGTTCTTTAATTGGTGAAGGACTTACCTTTGCGACTGGCATCAGACGCAGACGTGACTGTTTCTTTTGTGGCTATAACTGCAGCACAGCTTCAGCCAGCACCCCACCGCCCTCTTCCTCCTCACACTGGTCAACGGTTTGAGAACATGATTCATGCCAACCCAGACTAAATTTGCTTTGCTGATGAATTATTTCATCTTAACACATCTGTTTTTACAGATGAGGAAACTGAAGCACAGAGCAGTTAAGTAACTTGTCCAAGGCCACACAGTTAATAAGCAGTAGAACTACCACTTACGCTGTTGGTCAGTTCATTCTTTTCTTCACAGATTTGTAATGCCCTCTTTATCATGTACTAGGTTTCTATATATATTTATCTCTTTCTGGACTCCTTTTTTTTTTTTTCTATCAAGGTATTTGTTTCCTGGCCAGTACCATATGACTTACCTTAACTTCCTAGCATATTTTCATAGCTGGTAGGGAAATTTCCCTCTTATTGTTCTTTTTCAAAAATGCCTTGAGCTTTTTTTGTTGTTGTTGTTAAAGAAATGCATTTTAGAATCCGCAAGATACTTAATGTCCCTATGTCCCCTGAACCTTAATTTCCCCATCTTCAGAAAAGGGGGTTTATTTTCACATGTACATTATAGTGCCTAGCACATAGTTTTTTTATAGTTGCAAATTTTTTTTTAAGGTTCAGAATGTATAAGAAAAGCTAAATTTCCTTTGTGTTGCTATTTGATTTAGCCATCAAGTGACGTAAACTTTTTTTGTGTGTGTGACTTAAACTTTTAAAGTCAAGTTTTAAAAAAAGTTGTCTTTAGTTAAACCTTGTTTGGTCCAGCTTAAAATTTTTTATTGTTGTATACTAGATCTCTTCTGCCTAGCTTTTTGTTAGTTTCTATAATCTTGTCTGCCATCTTTTCAGATTTTTGTGGTTTTACCAAATTTGTTATCACAGAGCATAGGTTGTTTCATAATCCTGGGGAAATGTGCACATGATAGACAGTGATGGGCTTTTGACATCCAAAGAAAAGAATATTTCTGGTGATGATGCCTTTATGTTGTAGTGTTCTGATTTATAGGATTACATCACAGCTTTCCTCTCCATACAAGCTTTTGGAAATTCTCTTTGATGAGGCCTCCGATTACCAAGGAGAGTAGAGGCCAGCTTCAGTGGTGTGACATGGAAGGTCTCTGTTGTTCTCTTCAGATCAGCCTGCCTTTAAGCCATCTCAGTCTTAACTGTGTTGAGTCATTAAAGTGAGTGAGTTTTCTTTCCTTGCCATTGATATAATTTTTAAAAGCTGTCCTAAAGAGAGGGTTTTTTTCTTTTAATAAACACTATTAGCAGCCTCTTCTTAAGTTTAATATAAATTCCTCTCAAGGTGGTTAAATCTCTTACCAGGTTTTGCCTTCTGTTGAGGTATGCTTTATTTCCTTAAAAGTAAGTATATGAGAGTCGTGGAAATATTGGAAATAACCTAAATGTTTTACAGTAAAATATAAATAAAATCATCACATCTACCATTTCTACCATTTGCTGTGTCCTCAAAATTTCAGGTAGTATAAATGTCATCTTCCACTAAAAAGAAAAAAAAAGCACACGTGGATATGTATTTATATTCACCCTCTTAGATTTAGCAGTAGCATCTGATACACGTTTTTCTTCACCCTGCTTTATTTTTTTTTTTAACCTAATATATGCTGGGGATTATGCCATGAGCAGTATATATAGACGTTCCTTATTCCTTTTCACAGCTGCATACCACTCCATCCTAGTTTATTCAACCCATCCTCTATTGTTGGCTAATTGAGATGTTTCCAGTCTCTTGCTGTTATAACAGGTGAATAGCTTTGTACATGTATCCTTTTGTATATTTGCCAGTATATAGGGGGGATAGATTTCCTAGAAATGAATGGACCTAGATCAAGGGGTAAAGGCATGTGTTACTCAGCTAGGTTTTTTTCAAATCCCTCTTTGTAGAGCTCATACCCTTTTGCACACTCGTGATCAACAGATGAGAACGCCAGTTTCCCTATAGCCTCGCCAACTTGGTATGTGTTCTTGCCAGCATGATCGGTGAGAAAGGATACCTTACTTACTATAGTTTCAGGTTGCATTTCTTTTATTATAGCCAGGTTGAGCATCTTTTCATATGGGTTAGAGCCATGTGCATTTTTTTCCTATAGAGGTTTTGGCATTTTCCTTTTTTAGAAGCTCTCTTTATTTAGGGATATTTATCCTTTAAGCTGGACCAGATATCAATGCGTGGCCCTCTTTGCCTGGCCAAGTCCCATCCCTTCTTCGTGGGCCAGCTCAAACGTCAGCTGTCCTGGGAAACTCTTTCTGGCTTCTTAAGTATATGGGTTAGGATTCCCACCTGGATGTGCCTATCGTCTCTGCTTATTCCCATCATAGCATCTCTGCCTTCAAGGAGCTTCCAGCCTGGTTGAGAGAGCTGCAAAGAGCTAACTATAACACACTGTGATAAAGCTATCTTGCTTTTTACTCCCTTCCCTATATATGTAGCAGTGTCTGGCTACGGTGGACATCGTAAAGGTTATGAATCGCCTCTTCGGCAGAAGTACAGTGGTGCAGATATTAAAAAAAAAAAAAAATTGCATTTGGCCAGGTGATATGGGATCTGGTTGTGCCCTTCTGGATAGAGAGTACAGACTTGAGGGTTTGACCTTAGGATCCGTGCTTTGCCAGAGAACCCTGTAAATACAGCAGACCCGTCTGGGAACCAGCTTTGTTAGCTCCCATCCCAGTCTTCTAGTGTTGGCTGCTGTGTAACCTTACATGGGAGAGGCTGCCAGACGGAACCCTGGAGCATTGTCCCCCTGTGTTATTCCTGTACCTCTCCGGAATTCTTGTGCACATCTTGCTGGGGACAGAGCTACCCCTGTTGTAGCTGCCAAGTGCAGAGTGTGCTCCACGTGGGTCAGCGTAGGTGGCATCAGTGACTGCTGGGCCTTTTCATCTCCATTCTTCCTAGTTCCCTGTCCCCGCTTTAGTCCCGCTCTGTTTCTTTGGTCTTAACCCTTGTCCTTTCCCTGAACGTATAACCTGCTGCCCTAGAGCAGCCGGAACGCGGGCCTTTCTTAGCTCCCCAGAGCAACTGAATTTTGGTTTGGGCTTTTGTCTTAGGTTGTCGAATCTGGCTAGCACAATTGGGACTAACTAGGGTGACTAACGGTTCCTTTTAGCCTGGGACTGTCCCAGGAAACCCCTTAGTCCTGGACGCTTGGTTCCTCTGGTTAGTTCTGACCTGGGAAACTGCTGTCTCACCAGTGACTTAAATGAGCCTGAAGCTTTGTCTTCTAGCATTTCCTGCGTTCAGCATGTACACTTTTTCATCACAGGCTGTAAGATCAGGTAACATTATGTCACAGGAACTGAGTAATCTCTTCCTGTTTAATCATTAGCCAAAGGCTTTTGAGCAATACTTGAACCTGGAAGATAGCCGACTGCTGCGTCATCTGAAGACGAGCTCTGCAGTGTCCAAACTGCCCTATGATCTCTGGTTCAAGAGATGCTTCGCCGGCTGCTTGCCTGAATCCAGCTTACAGAGGCAAGTATTTCTTTCAAATACGGACTGCAGGCTCAGAGGCAGAAAAATCCTGCGTTCTTTTTTTTTTTTTTTTTTAACGTGATCATCTTGGAATATGAATTTGCTTTAGAACAATACAATAATTTGATGCTGACTTCTCCAGCAGCTAACATAACAACACACGATTCTGCTTATTATATATAAAGTTAGAAACATTAGAAATATCTCATATTAATATAAATATTAAAAATGTTACAACATACGGTTAGAGAAATTGAAGGCCCTCAATGTGTTTGATGCTGTTCAGTATTCCCGTGTGAAATAGTCTCTAGGAGTACATGTGGGCTTTTCCAGAAATGGAGCAGGTCCTAGAGAAAATGTGTATTTCTAAAGTAGCTGAAGGCAGTGAGAGACTTGAGACTCAAACTCAGCTCTTCCATCAACTTCAGACGTGTTACGGGTATTTCGGTGTCCTGGATCACCCCATCCCCAGCTTTGCAGTTGAGGAGAAAGGTAAATGTACAGAGGACATTACAAGACAATGCATTTGGCATGTATAGAATTATACCAACTGTAAGAGTTTATAGGAGTTATCAGAATAGTTATTTTAGAGTATATTCAGTAACTGGCTCCTTAATGAATTTAAACCACTGGAAAATGAAATTGAATTTATCATTTCATTTGCTGCTTTTGTTGTTCCTTACCATGTAATGATTATATTAACATTACAAAATGTTAGTAAAATCTAAGCTTTGGTTTAGGACTTTCCTGCCCGAAAATGTCAGTTTTGAAACATTAGGGAATTGGCATACTGGTCAATTCCTAGCAGAGCAAATATTGATACTTTCTAGCCATGGTTCCTTTTTTTCCTTCCACTGCTGATTGTGTCTGAAATAGATTTCAAATGGCTGATCTGTGTTGTTTTCCTTGATGATGATTTCTTCATAGCTCTTCTCTGAAGCTCATGAACTCAGCCCTCTGTATCCGCAGATGCGCATCTGCGGATTCAGCTGATCCTGTGCTGTGTTTATAATTTGTGGTTGGTTGAATCCTTGGATGTGGAATCTGCAGATATAGAAGGCTGACTGTACCACCTCATTTTACACAAGGGACTTGAGCCTCCACGGATCTTGGTATCCACAGCAAGTGAGTCCTGGAACCAATTCCCTGGGGATACTGAGGGACGACGGTACTTAAAATGTAACTTGATTTAATTTTGAAATTTGAGCTGTTTAGATAAACATAAACTTCAAACTCGTAATTTGATTATATCTTTATTTTGCAGGGTTTGGGATAAAGTTATAAGTGGATCCTGTAAGATACTAGTTTTTGTAGCTGTGGAAATTCTCTTAACCTTTAAAATAAAAGTAATGGCACTGAACGGTGCAGAGAAGATAACAAAGTTTCTGGAAAATGTAAGTGTACTTTGTTTTGTTTTAATTTTGAATCTAGAAGGGAAGTCAGTTTAGCAAGCCAGATGTTTCTATTGCATTCGATTGTTTCAGGGACATAGTATACTTTTACATCATAAGAAACAATTTTCCCCTGGAAGTTTCACGTTGCTCTGTGGATGGTAGTGCAGTCCTTTGGGGTCAGTGGCCTGAGCAGCAATCTCCATGAGTGTATGCGCCCGGGACTGGAGTCTTATCCCCTGATGTGACCCCTAGGAGGTTTGTCAAGAAAAGGAAGAGGTGAGATCTTTACTTTAGGGTGACTGATCTTTGTTGCTGGAAAAGGGAACCTGATGTTTTGAGGGATTTTGTAAGTCCTTTCATTTCTGTTGCTATCTCTGGTAGAGTCCCAGCTGGATTTGTTAATGTGCTGAAATGTAAACTTAGAGCATGTTGAAAAGGGTCAAAATGAATCTGTTTTTCCCCGTCTTTGTATCTTAGAATCCCCTTAACCAGGCAAGAAGAGGTGGAAGTACAGAGACTTAGGTGTGAGTGAATTTCACTGGACCCCAAGTCTATATATTTTAATCAGTCAATGTTAACAGTTGAACAGTGGCCCAGTAAATAAGTACTAAGTGAAGGTATGTTGGATCAAAGAACCGTCATCATTGTAATTAGTGGCTCACAGTGCCAGGGCCACTGCTAAGTATTTTTTGTGAATTATGTCATGTAACCCGGTAAAGAGCCCTGTGAATTGCGGCTATCATTTGCCTCATTTTAGAGACGGGGATCTGAACCCAGGGAGCTCAGATAACCTGCCCAAGAGTCCGCAAGTAGTGGGCAGTGCAGGATTCGACCCTAGGTGGTATGACACGACTGCTCCTTGCTGCGGCCTCAGGTGGCGCGTGAAACAGATCCTGGCACTAGCCTCCTGTGCGATCGCTTTCTGAAAAATGCTGAAAACTCCAGTGGAAATGAGACTTGTACCAGAGTGAAAATGAGGGAGATACTGAAGTCGGAAACACATTTCAGAGATTGGTTTGCTTGTTCACAGATCCCCCAGGACAGCTCGGATGCGATTGTGAGCAAGGCCATCGACTTATGGCACAAACACTGCGGGACCCCGGTCCACTCCGCCTGAACATTCCTGACATTGTGGACAGCCTGCCAGGCCTGCCCAGAGGGCTTTTTTGGGACATGATCTACTAAACTGATAATAGGGTTCTCACTTTGGTACTCAGAGTGTAATTGTTTCCCAGCAGAATTTATTTAAGATACCTGGAGTCACTGTGTTGTGGAATGGCATTTTCTGATTATACAGAACTACAGAGTTCAACTCTGAATAGCATTTAAAAAACATTTTATTTTATTGAAGTATATGGGTGATTTACAACGTGTTAATTTCTGTACAGCAAAATGATTCAGTTATACATACATATACATTCTTTTTCATATTCCTTTCCGTTATGGTTGATCACAGGGTATTGAATATAGTCCCCTGTGCTTATACAATAGGAACTTGTTCTGAACAGCATTTTGAAAGCGTTGTTTGAAAATAGCTCCCAGCTTGTAAAGCGGTTGAGTCAGGGTGGGTGGGTGCTTCAGTAAGCAGGGTGTAACCAAGCTTGCCCTGCTCCTCTCTACTTAGCACCAAGCTAGTTACTTTCTAAGGTCTATTTCTGGAATGGCAAACAACTTCCTTACGTTGACAACTCGGATTCCGCTTTTGTTCATACAGTACCTGTTGAAATCTAAGCTGACTTTCTAAATCTTCTGAAATCTGAATCTGCTTTCTGAGACTTTGTCTTGCTAAATAGGTTTAAATAAAGGCCTTGCTTTTTTTTTTTCTCTGTGCCAGTTGGAGTGAAATATTACTGAACAAAATGTGTCTAAATTTACCTGCTAAGAGAGGACTTGTTTATTTTGCTGGACTCATGCTTTTCCTTGATGGGCCATTAAATGTTGGGTGAGCATCTGGGGAGGACTCTGCCACCTGGAATAGGAACGGGTGAAAGGGCAGGTTCAGGTTAATAGCTAATGCCCGCCCCCCCCCCCCCCCCCCCCGGCTGTGTCATCCCCTGATGGTAACTGTTGGTTGAACAGTTGCAGGCTTTGAGCTGGGCGAGTGAGACGGGGCCCTTTGTTTGAAACTGATTCATGCACCTGTCAGACCTGCAGGAGCCCGAGTGGTGAGTTGGATTCTCCACGCCCCCATCCCTCTGCCCAAAAAAGAGGAGACATGGAATTATGGAGCTCTCACTCTGAGAGTTCAGTCCCTGTCTAACGTGGAAAACAGCTGTAGAGAGAGTTCAGAGCACACGGAGTTGTTGAAACCAGCTGGCCCACGTGTAAAGTAACATATGCAAGAGTATTTAATTTTTTTAATCAAAAATACACTCATAAGAAAACTTCTTAAAGCAAACTGTGCTTACAGTTAATGCTTTACATTTATCCAGTGATCGCCTCTGCCCCGAAGAACTTTGAATCCAGTAGGGGATGTGAGCAAAAGCGCACGAGGAGTTCCTGCTGCACTTGTCCGCTACCTAGTGAGTGAACGTGGGGTTTATGTGAAATTCACAGAAGTCATAAGCGCTTTACTTCTATCTAATTTACGAGCCACATACGGTTACAAACCATAAAAGTTTGCACAACTTTTTGGTAAAGATTATAAGGTCAAGTGATGTTAGTGAATCCCAACTGCTGGCTCCCACCTCGGCACTGGGAGAAGCAGGGGCAGGCCTCACAGAGCAGGGGGGAGGTGGGGGGAGAGGGAGGGAGTGCACCTGGCGGGGAGGGGGCTGAAGGGGCTGGAGTTCCGCTTAAAATTCTGGTGAGGGTCCAGGTGAGCCAAAACGGAAGACTATTGCCCCACTGCTGAGGGATAGAAAATTAAATATTCTGCAAGTACAGTATATGCTGTCAAACCCTGTTTGGCAAAACCTTGTCTGTTATAGGGTGTGGGTCTTGGGTCTTGTTTTGTTTTGTCAATCTGATGATCATGCGTTTTCCTTAGACAACGAAAGGGCTCCGTCTGGGCAGAATTTAAGGCCCACTCTAGGGACACAGAGTAGGTGAGGATCCAATTCCATTTCAGTATCAGAATTTTATTTTACTGAGTGTAGTATTTTGAAGATGTTTCTGCTCACTGCCTGCTGTGAGAAGCACGGCTCCTGATGAAAATAGCCCCACGTTCCCTTTATTCGAGACATTTTGTCCGGATACTGCAGAAACCCAGGGTTTCGGTTGTGGCCAAAACTGTGGTGGCTAATATGTGGGGTTCTCCCCCTGCCTTGGAAAACTGGGATTTAACGTTACTAAGTTGAGTTTCTAGTTCTTCCTTCTTACAGCGTCGCCTTAAACATAGATGAGAGAAGCTCTAGATCTGAGGGCAGGGAAGGTTGGGGTGGGTGTGTGTGGCTTTTGCCTGATGACAAATCAAACTGACAGATTGTACGTACGCAGGCTTGTGTGTGTGTCTGAGGCCACTTCAGGAAATGAGGTCAGCGTTCATTAGAATGAAGTGCTTTTTTTTGTTGTTGTTGTTAATAGAAAGTTTGCCTGAAAACTGTGGGCAACCCTCAAATCCCGTAATGTGTGGAAAGAGCTCTAAAGGCCTCCATCCTCTTTTGTTCTGGGTGTGAGACAAGCCGGCCTCGTCTTGAATTGCTGCAGCATCACTCTGGGCCCTGTGGTCGTCAGCTCCCCACTGTGACTGGGGGTTTAGTTTTCCTCCCTGAAAGTGCAGAATGTGGGGTGAAGTCTCTGAGGATGGGGAGGGTAAAAATAGAGCACGTGTGCCCAGGACTATGTCCAATCTCCTGCCTAAGTGACAGCCTCTGTGAGCAGCGCTGCGGCGTCCTTCAGCCCGAGGCAGCCTCTGGGAGGGGTTAGGGGTGTGGATGGCTGGCAGGGCCTCTGCCTCTGCCTTTTGCATCCTCCAGTGGTCCCAGAGGAGAAGCAGCTTTTGTCTTCAGCTGGGTGTTCTGGGTTTGGAAGGCCTAGAGGCCGCTTTTCTTTGCCTTGACAGGTGAAAAGGTGTCTTTGTAGCGGGAGTTGGGGACCTTTTCCTCTGGTGGATGGAACAAAGAGCTGTTTCTCCTTTAGAATCTGTGCCAAGTGAAACTGCTCGTGGCTCCTGGCAGGAGGCCAGATTGAAGAGGCCGGGGAGGGGTGGGTGGAGGAAGAGGGCGATGTGAACACAGGGGGGAGGAACTTTCCCAGAGGCCTGCAGGGCAGGCTGGGGTGCCGGCCCCTCACTGCCTTCCTCACCAGTCACTCCCTTTCCTTTTTGGTCTGCCAGCCTTGCCCTATGGAGGTTAAAAAGTGAGTGGGCGGTTCCTTGCTAGGTGAGGTGACAGTTCCTCACTCGGGGCTGGTCTTACTGTAGGGCCACCACCCGGAGGGGGATTGGAGAACGTGATCAGAGGACAAGGAAAAAATCCTTCAAGAAGCTTGTCCCGACCGAGCAGGACCCCCAGCAGAACAGCACAGCAGGCGATCGGGGTTCAGACCTCAGCATCACACCTAAAGCCTAGGGATTACTTGGTCGTTTACCAGGAACTCATACAGGGGTGCTCGGGCCTGCTGGAGCTCACGCTAACCTCTGACCCTCCTGTTTGGTCTCTTTCTGCTCGTCTCCCGTCACCCTTCTTTCCCTAGAGTTTTACCAAGTAGCAACTGGGTGCCTGTTGGAAATATTGGCATCTCTTCCCTGCCCGCCCCCCGCCCTCTGGGCTTAATGCCATGAAGGCTTGTGAGGGTGGCAGTGAGAAGAGCTTTGGATGATTTGCTTCTGTCAGAAGGCTGTGTCCATGCCCCGGCGGGCCTGCGTCCCCACCTCCTCTCTCCCCTTTCCACTCTGGTTCACTTGTTCTCGTCTTCATTCTCATTCAATCATGAAATAGATTTGAACACACTCCCATTAATAGCCCAGGTACTGAGTTTAATTGCTAAGTTGTATTTGTCCTGTTGGAGCTTGTAATCATTCAGGGAAGACAGATATTAAACAGGTATGTATTTTGTTTTCTCAGTCTTTAAGAGGACCTCTCACTCCTGAGCTGCCACACAAGGGTGGAGGTGACCTGGGCTTGCCCAGAAGCTCTGGAGGAAAGTTAGAGTTACTCTGCAATGCATGGGTCTTTGTCCCCTTCTCTTATTCATGCAAGAGTGACAAAGAGCCTTGGAAGGGGTGGGTGCTGGGGAGGGTCTGAGCCTCCGCGCTGACTCGTTAGTTCTGTGACCCAAGATCACTCAGTCTGCAGCTCAGTTTCCCCATCACCTTCAGGAAGGTACTGGAATTGCTTACTCCTCAACTTGCTGTGAGCATCAGGTGAGCTTAATGTGAAAGCACGTTAAGAAGTACAGGGCTTCCCTGGTGGTGCAGTGGTTGAGAGTCCGCCTGCCGATGCAGGGGACAAGGGTTCCTGCCCCGGTCCGGGAAGATCCCACATGCGCGGAGCGGCTGGGCCCGTGAGCCATGGCCGCTGAGCCTGCGCTTCCGGAGCCTGTGCTCCGCAACGGGAGAGGCCACAGCAGTGAGAGGCCCGCGTACCGCAAAAAAAAAAAAAAAAAGAAGTACAGAGCTCTGAGGAATGTTGAACATTTCGAATAGCGTGGTTTGCAAGTCTGTGGCCAGGCTCTGCCTCTGTTTGAATCTGCCCTGGGCTTCAAGGCCTATCTGAAACTGCCCCTTGTTAATTTCCAAGCTGCACGCGTGTGCCTTCTCCTGCTTCTGAGCTTCTGTAATGTTTCATGTATAATGGTTCAGGAGTCTTTGGTTTGGTGGTCTCGAACTTTAATTAAACTCCATGTGCTTTCCCTCTAAAAAGCAGGTTTCTTGCGTCTAGGCTGTGTCTTGGTCCCTTTTGCACACTTCTGCTTTACCTAGTATAGTTCCTCATATGTGTTTTCTCCCTGAAACCGTGCTGTCCCCCACCCATCTTTGGGCATGCTGGTATCATCTTGGTCAGGAACATTGTCTCCCCACTGCAGGGCTACATCCTCCTATCTCTATGATTCAGCTCAAGCATCCCCTCCTCCAGGAAGCCCTCCCGACTCTCTGCCCCTTGGCTTCTGCCCTAGGCTTGTTTCCTTCCATGGTACTCTGTCTTTTTTACCACGTTTAATACATTGGTTTAGAATGACCTGTTTATATCGAACACTAGCCTGTGAGCCCCTCGAGGGTATAGATCATGTCTTATTCTTTTCTTTTCCCTCGGTGCCAAGGACATCTCAGCCTGCCTGGGCTCTCCCTGATTATTAGGTGAATACATGAATGCCTGACTCCTCTGGTGACAAGTAACAGAATTGTTCTGGAGCTGGCTTGCTCAAGGAGACTTGATCACAGGGTACAGGGGCTGAGGTTCAGAAGCCACTGGGGGTAGGGCTAGAATCTGGGACAGGACTAAAGAGACTCTGGCCCCCTTTATCTTTGACCTGCTCTGTGTGTCTGCTGTTTCTCTCTCTGCTGTCCGGGTTGCTCTGGTGGAAGATGCCTTACCCTGAGGTCCTAAGATTATCTGGTACAGGTCCAGCCTCTGGAGACAGTCTCTTGGCCCCGTTTCCTAAATCCACGGGAAAGGGCCTGTGGTCCATCTTGGGTCTGGTGCTGCCTGTGGATCGATCATCCATCCCCATGGAGACAGACTCATGTTCCCCAGGAGCCTCCCTGTGTCCACGCCAGCGCAGGGCCGGTGAGCAAGGGACACTGTACAGGGGCCACTGTGAACGGGGAGACACTCTCAGAAGCTCCCACTCCATTTGACAAACCTGGTGACTGGACATGCCCTGCACAGGAGCCAGGAGGGGTACCAGGCGCCCTCCACCGTGAACTGCATCTGAGTGGTCTCCCTTCGCTGCTTATTTCTGGTTTCTGCCAGCCGGTCTGAGGGTGGTATGGCCGGCGCTTTGCGATGAGGTGGGCAGAGTGGGAATGCCCCACTGGCAGCGTCTGGCATAGCCAGGTGTTTCCTTGGGAACATTCCCCATCAAGTCTAATTCTGGAAGTTGACGGGAAGTAGGCTTTGCCCGGCTCCTTCCCCTGCACCTGAGTCCAGTGAGAAGGCTGGGGGCGGGCAGGGGGCGGCTGGAGCAGCTGTGTGTATTCGCTCTGATAGCTTGGAAAGATGTATGCGTCCCCTGGGGTGTCCAACATCTGCGTCTGTAGACTGAGTTGGGCTCTGGCCAGACCCGGTGGCAGTCGGGTGAATCTGGATAAAGTCGGGGTCGGCAGCTGCCAAGGCTGACTGACTTCAGGATCAGAAGGGAGGCACACCTGGACTTGAGCGTCCGCTGGAGGAAAGCGTGCCAGTCACCTGGTCGACACTCCCCTCCCCAGTACTCAGAAAAGAAAAGCGAGGTTCTGGGTGGTGACGGGGGTTATACCAGGTCACCCACTGGTAGCTGAGAAGCCTTTAGAACGCAGGCCTCCTGGCTCCCATCCCTGTCTAGAGCGTGCTTCACCACGCCAAGCTTCTCCCTCATCCTGAAACACTGCCCTTATCTGTCCTCTGAGCCTTAACACCCCTGAGGAGCTTGCTGGCTGGGCACCTTGGCACGGTGTCCTCCTGTGTAACATGACAGTGATGGTAGCCACCCTACGGGATTGTTAGGAGTGTTGAAATGCAGCAGGACACACAGTACCCTCGCGTCAGTGCCTGGCGCGTGGTAAGCACTCAGTAAACATTAGGTGTTACTGAGTCACAGCGATAACGGGTAAAATGTGTGCTCTCTTCAAAGAGGCGACACTGTGACTTACAGTCTTAGCATCTTAGAGAGGATGCTTCCTGAGAAGTGTTCTAGGAGATCAGAGGCCCATTGCAGGTGCTTTAAGTCTTCCATTTGTAAAGCTTACATACATGGCAATCCCCTAGGGCCCCTGTTAAAATTCGGATTCTGATTTAGTAGCTCGGGGGTGGGGCCTGGGGTTCTGCATTTCTAATATGCTCCCTGATGATGTTGGTCCTTGGGGACCAGAGTTTGAATAGCAAGGAGGCGCAGGGACTGTAGATTTCAGATTGTACCTTGTCAGAGCTTTAACCCGGGCTGCTAAAGAAAGAAAAGCTACAGAGAATGCTACCTGCCTGTGCCATTTTCTCATTTTTAAATTAGCCTGGCTTCATTTCTAGGTGATGTTGGGGATATTGCTAGAAGTTTATATTCAGGATGTGATGAAGTACCTTATAATCTCAGTAGTGAGACACAGATGTCCTATGAATTATTTGCTCTCCTCGCTGGGTCACTGGAGGTGGTTTCACTCCCCTTATCACGAGTCAGCTCGTTACTGAGGGCAGCCCTGTGGCAGCCAACCACCCATATCTATCCTCCCCTTCCTTACTAACCAAACCTCAATTTTATTTGAGGCAGGAGTGTGTTAACAAAACTTTATTTCCCAGTCTTGATGCAGAGGAATGGACAATGAGATAGAAGCAAAGTCATTAGGTAGGGCTTACAGAAAAGGTTTTTATTCACGGAGGATTTACTCCACCGTCAGGTAACCTTTCCTCTTACTTCCTGCCTGGAACACATACAGAATGACTGGAACTCAGCAGCCATCTTAGGACATGAGGCAACCTCAAGGATGGAAGTCACATGGTGAGGATGGTGGGGCAAAAAAACAGAGCTGTGGCACATTGATGGTACCACAAGCCCTTCCCTACTTAACTCCAGACTTCCTTTACATTAAAACAAACAAAAAATCCGGTTGTTTCAGCCAGTATTTGACAGGTTTCCTATTACGTGAAGGGTGCTAAACCCAGTGGTAACTGATCCCACTAGAGCAGGTGCAGTTTAGCAGGGCAGACACGGGTTTAAATCTGTGTCTAAAACTGTCATCCTTCTGAGCATCCTTTGTGGGATCCCCTAGTCATGTAGAGGCAGGGGAACTGGATTGAGGGTCAGAAGCCCAGGGTGCTCAGCTCAGCTTTGCCATTTCCTAGTGGTATGATCCTGTTCCTTTAACCTCAGTCCCCACCCCCGTAAAGTGGGGCGATGGATGACAGAGTCCAACATAGTGCGAGGTGCAGAACTCACTCTGCCGGTGTTGGGTGAGGGGTGGGTCTCAGGATGGAGAGGATGCAAAGACCAACTGGCTGCTGTGAGCAGCGAGGGGCCGTGCAGGGGTGCAGCTCGGGTGCAGGCACTGATGCACCTTTCAGTGCTTCCATTAGAGGTGCCCACCTTGGTGCCCCGAGGGCCACGGAGCACTGCAGCCTCTGCTGGAACCGAAAGGGCTTGGACTAAGTGCCCCGTCTGCATGAATGAGAGGCTGGTTTTGTTCAGAGGAAGTGGGGGTGGCACAAGTAGCCTTCAGCCGGCCCTTGGGAAGCCTGCCTCAGGCCTTCCTCCACCAGCTCCTGAGCTTTAAGCCGAGGCCTGCGAGGTGGCTGGCAGCATCTCGGCTCCAGCACTGCTTTGCTGCTGAAACCCACAGGACTGTGCCCCAGCTCCTAACTTTGGAGCAGCCGGATGGGCTGGGGGCGTCAGCAGTGAGTGTGCATTCTCTCCTGCTGCCTGGAACCTGCAGTGAGATGTCTTCAACCACAGCACAGCTGTCCACACCTCCTTCATCCAAACCAGAGCACCTTTTTGCTGCCACTTTCTCTCAACCGTCTTCCACACCTGAAGCCATCTCTCTCCATCTTCCTCTCTTGCCCACCCCAATTCCTTACGTTGGGCACCTGCACTATTTCCACTCACGGTGCCAGCTGGTCCCTGGAGGGCAAAAACCATGTCCTTACGATGAACTGAAACTATGAAGAGGCATCTTATCTCCTTGCACACAGAGAATGGAGAGCAGAGGCCGAAATAGGACTGCTGGCAGCTGGCGAGGGGACCTCTCACAGCTGGGCCACGTGGGGCTCCATCTTTCTGACCAGCCGCTAGATGGTCTGAAAATGCCTGCATTTCCTTACTGCAGCCTCTTCCTAGATTTCTTGATATGATTGAAACAAGGTCCGTCTGAGTGGACATGGTCCACGTGGGGCAGTTTCCTTGCTCAGGGATGACAGAGGCAACCAGCACAGGTATGTACTTTCAATCCCCTACCCACCTTTTTAAAAAAATAGTTGTAACTAAATTTTTTAATGGGAAAGGGCTATGTGCACGTGGGAATAAAAGGCAACCGGGACAGGAGGGTATGCGATGCATGGCCACTGTCCCTCCACCCCAGCCCCGGTCCCTTCCTCACAAGCAGCTTCTGTCAGCTTAGACGTGAGCGGGGTATCGTGCATACTTTCTAGGACGAAAGAAGGGACAGCACAGGGGTGTGCCCTGCCCGCTCTGGGGCTGTCGTAACCAGGTCAGTGGGAGAGAACTGAGGAAAACCCGGGACAGTTAAACCGCGACCAGGGGCTTTTGTTGTGTTGCCCCGGCTGGGAGGGTTTGGAGCAGGGGCTGAGGCTGGCGGGGGTGACGGGAAGCATTTTAATGCTGGCTTGGAACAGCGTCCCTGCGACCCAGACGTCAAGGCCAGCCCGCTGGGGAGCGGGGGCCAAGGCCTTTACCCTAATTCTCTGGTGGGGGGAGTTTGACATAAGCCCAACTCATGTGTAAAATATCTTTATTTGTGTAGCTGAAGAGACGGGCTTGCCGCCTCCTGGGTGGAGACTCTGAAATCACAGGCCTCATAAGGATGTAGCCTCGCGTGGGACCCCCCTGTGAGACCCGCCCTGGACAAGGTGTCAATGACAACCATCCTGCTTCAGGCTGGTAATTAAGGAACAGATGGAATTTTTTTGTCCTGTCTTCCATCATTTTGTCTCGTGTGTGTGCATGTGCGTGCGTGCTTAATTAAAGAAATTTTAAAAAACAGCAATGATCTCACCATGTAGGAAACACTGAACCTCTGCAATTACAAGATGCAAAGTTGCAATCTCTTATGGAGGAGAAAAGAAATGGATGTGTGCAAGTCCAGCTCAGAGTAGCATGTGTCTTAGCTGGTTGTCACAGCCTGGGAGGAGAATCAGTTAAATTTTGCTTTTGTGGTTTACTTTTCCTTCCTCTGCAAACGGATTCATGAGTTCATGTAACAAGACCCCTTCGCGTTAAACCTCATGCATTGGATGATCATGGCTTCCTATTATGAAATGAGAGCATTTTTTGATTGATGGCACATAAAGAGCAGAACTTATTTTTAAAACCAAAAACAGCACTTAGGAAACGGCCTGGCTGCCCACCCACGACTGATTAAGTGTCGGATGTGTTCTTCCTCTGTGGACCCAGCGGCATGCTGCTCTCTTCCTGTCTCTGCCACAGTGCTAGGTGGATCCATGCTGTGCAAGAGCCTCGTTCGACATCATTTCCCTCGCAAGAAGTCATAAGTATTGGCTGACAGGCTGGTGGTGGGAGGTCCCCACTGGCGGGCACACAGGCAGGCAGTGCACAGGAGCGGGGAGGAAGAGCTAGGTTAAGGAAACAGCATCTCCCTACCTGGAGGCTGGGAGGCAGGTGGGTATCTTTCCTGATCTGTGGTTCTCGGTGTCAGAAGGTGATGGTATCACCTAAGACAGGGAACTGGGATAACTGGACGGAAGCTGAGAAAGTGTGAACTCAGCAAAACGGAGGCGAAGCAACGCATGCATCGGCCTAGCAGGGAGGTTAAGAGCAATGCTTTAGAGCTGAACACACTCGGCTTTGGAAGCTGTGAGGCATTGTGAGGATTAAATAAAATTGTGCATGAAAATGGTGCAGCGCGGTGCCAGGTACACAGTGAGTGTTTAATATTTGGGAGCTGCAGATGGTGGCGGCAACAGGAATCAAGTGCCCAGACAGCTGCAGTTGGAAACTGGGGTGCCACAGTCAGGTACCACAGGGGACAACTAGGCATTCGTACCGTGGCTTTTTTTTTTTTTTTTGGTATGTATGAGTGTTCTGACTCCTCAATAGAGTTCTGAGGTCATCAAAGTGAAGGCTCTCTTGGACTCTATTCAGGGAAGCTTAAGTCCACGAAGCCCCTAGTTAGTGCTGGCTGTCCCTGAGGGGGTCACCGCAGCATGGTCACGTGGCCAGCCCCCTCTCAGGGCTCCCGGGCCACACACACCATGGGGGTCTGCTCCGGGACCCCTAGGCAGGAGAACCGGCCACACTGGTTCCGAGGATGGTGGACTGGAGACAGGTGCGCGGAAGCTTGTGTTTGGCCAGAGGACTGGCAGCAGGATTGGACTGGCTACAGCCACAGGTATGGAGAACCATGAGTGTGAACATGCAGGCAGATAAGGACCTTAATTAGAGCAGTGGAAGAGCTTCTAGAACTAACTGGCAAGTGTTCACGATCAGCTGGAAGTGGAAAGGAGGGAGGTGACTTCTAGGTAATGCCATTCACTGAAAAAGGAAATTAGAGGAGAATGGGACTGGGGCAGAGGGGTGGGGTCTGAACATAGGAAAACGATAGTCTGGGACACACAGAGTTTGAGGTGCTTGTGAAACGTGTGTCAAGCATAAGAGCTAACATTTATTTTAAATTTTTTTTATGGAATATCAGTTTTTATTGGATTATATAAGATAAAAAATTAAAGACTAAGAATAAGAAACTTCACATAAGAAAGGTAATTGAAAAAGTAGAATATAAGTGTAAGCACATATGAAATTAACATTTTGTGAAAAGTACAAATGATAAAACTTGGTAGATAACTCAGATATGAAAATCCAATGGGGGAACTATGGATAACTGTTTCTTGGTAGGTTTGCTTAGTGTTGCAAATTTTACATTTATTTTGTAAGGAAGTCATAAACCATAGTTGCTAAACGTGATAGCAAAGCTTGAAGTTTAAAATCTAAAGACACTGTTTTCTTTCTGTAGTCAAGAGAATCATGTTTTTGAAGATTAATTAACTTTTGGTACCTCTTAATCCCCTCCCTATATCTTGCCCCTCCTCCCTTCCCTCTCCCCACTGGTAACTACTAGTTCTCTATATCTGAGTCTCTTTCTGTTTTGTTATATTCATTTGTTTTCTTTTTAAGTTTAGATTCCACATATAAGTCATAACATACAGCATTTGACTTTCTCTGTCTTACTTCATATTACCCTCCATATCCATCCATGTTGTTACAAATGGCAACATTTCATTCTTTTTTATGGCTGAGTAGCAGTCCATTTGTATATATATACTATATCATCTTTATCCATTCATCTATTGATGGATACTTAGGTTGCTTCCATATCTTTGCTATTGTTAATAATGCTGCTATAAACATTGATTGGGGTGCATGTATCTTTTCAAATTAGTGTTTTCATTTTCTTCATATATACACCCAGGAGTGGAACTAATGGATCATATGGTATTCTCTTTTTAGGTTTTTGAAGAACCTCCATACTGTTTTCCACAATGGCTACACCAATTTACATTCCTACCAACACGGTTCTAGGGTTCCCTTTCCTCTATATGCTTGCCAACTTTTGTTATTTGTGATCTTTTTGATGATAGTCATTCTGACACGTGTGAGGTGATATCTCATTGTGTTTTTGACTTGCATTACTCTGAGGATTAGCGATACTGAGAATCTTTTCATGTGCCTGTTAGTCATCTGTATGTCTTATTTAGAAAAATGTCTATTCAGGTCTTCTGCCCATTTTTAATCAGGTTGTTTTATTGATATTGAGCTGTATGAGCTGTTTATATATTTTGGATATTAACCCCTTACTGGTCATATCATTTGCAAATATTTTCTCCCATTCCTTCCTTAGGTTGCCTTTTGTTTGGTCAGTAGTTTCCTTTGTTGTGCAAAAGCTTTTAAGTTTAATTAGGTCTCATTTGTTTATTTTTGCTTTTGTTTCCTTTGCCTTAGGAGACAGATCCAAAAGATACTGCTACAATTTATGTTAAAGAGTGTTCTGCCTGTGTTTTCTTCTAGGAGTTTTATGGTTTCTGGTTTTACATTTAGGTTTTTAACCCATTTTGAGTTTATTTTTGTATATAGTGTGAGAAAATGTTCTCATTTCATTCTTTTACATGTAGCTGTTCTATTTTCCCAGCAACACTTACTGAAGAGACTGTCTTTTCCCCACTGTACATTCTTACCTCCTTTGTCGTAGATTGACCATAAGTGCTTGGGTTTATTTCTGGACTCTCTGTTCTGTGTCTGTTTTTGTGCCAGTACCATACTGTTTTGCTTACTGTAGCTTTGTAATATATCTTTTCTGTTGTTAACATCTTTATTGAACTATAATTGCTTTACAATGGTGTGTTAGTTTCTGCTTTATAACAAAGTGAATCAGCTATACATATACATATATCTCTATATCTCTTCCCTCTTGGATCTCCCACCCTCCCTATCCCACCCCTCTAGGTGGTCACAAAGCACTGGGCTGATCTCCCTGTGCTATGCGGCTGCTTCCCACTAGCTATCAATTTTACATTTGGTAGTGTATATATATGTCCATGCCACTCTCTCACTTTGTCCCTGTAGTATATCTTGAAATCAGGGAGTGTGATACCTCCAGCTCTGTTCTTCTTTCTCAAGATTTCTTTGGTTATTCAGGGTCTCTCATGTTTCCACTCAAATTTTAGATTTTTTCTGGTTCTGTGAAAAATGTCCTTGGTATCTTGATAGGATTTGCATTTGATCTGTAGATTGCCTTGGGTATTTTGATTATTTTAACAACGTTCTTCCAATCCATGAATGCGATATATCTATCTGTTTGGGTTGTCTTCAGTTTCTTTCATCAGTGTTTTATAGTTCTCCAAGTACAGGTGTTTTACCTCCTTAGGTCAGTTTATTACTAGGTATTTTATTCTTTTTGATGCAATGATAAATGGGATTGTTTTCTTAATTTCTCTTTGATAGTTTGTTGTTAGTGTATAGAAATTCAGCAGATTTCTGTATATTAATCTTGTATCCTGCAGCTTTGCCAAATTCATTGATGAGCTGTAGTTATTTTTTGGTGGCATCTTTAGGATTTTCTAAGTAATCGTATCATGTCTTCTGTAAACATGACAGTTTTACTACTTCCTTTCCAATCTGGATTCCTTTTATTTTTTTTTGTCTAATTGCTGTGGCTAGGACTTCCAATACTATGTTGAATAAAAGTAGTTAGAGTGGGCATCCTTGATCTTAGAGGAAATGCTTTCAGCTTTTCACTGTTGAGTATGATGTTAGCTGTGGGTTTGTCATATATGGCCTTTATTAAGTTGAGGTATGTTCCCTCTATACCCACTTTGAGAGTTTTTAATCATAAATGAATGTTGAATTTTATGCATCTGTTGAGATGATCATGTGATTTTTATTCAGTTTGTTAACGTGTATCATCTTGATTTTCAGATGTTGAGCCATCCTTGCATCCCTGGGATAACTCCCACTTGATCATGATATATGATCCTTTTAATGCAATATTGAATTCAGTTTGCTAATATGCTTTGTTGAGGATTTTTTTTGCATCTAGGTTCATCAGTGATACTGGCCTGTAATTTTTTTTGCTTGTGATATCTTTTCTGGCTTTGGAATCAGGGCGATGCTGGCCTAACAGAATGAGTTCAGAAGCATTCCTTCCTCTGCAATTTTTTGGTATAGTTTGAGAAAGACAGGTGTTAACTCTTCTCTAAGTGTTTGTGAAGCCATCTGGTCCTGGACTTCTGTTTATTGGGAGTTTTTTATTACTTAATTTCATTTCTGGTAATTGGTCTGTTCATATTTTTTATTTTTTGTTCATTCTTAGGAGAGTGTACATTTCTAGGAATTTGTCAATTGCTTCTAGATTGTTCACTTTATTGGTGTATAGTTGTTCATAGTAATCTCTTACGATCATTTGTATTCTGTTTATAGGTTGTAACTTCTCCTTTTTCATTTCTGATTTTATTGATTTGGGCCCTCTTTTTCTTGATGAGTTTGGCTAAAGGTTTATCAATTTTATCTTTTCAAAGAATTGGCTCTTAGGTTCATTGATCTCTTCTATTGTTTTTTAGTCTCTATTTCATTTATTTCTGCTCTGATCTTTGATTTTTTTCATTCTACTAACTTTGGGTTTAGTTTGTTCTTTTTCTAGTTCCTTTATGTGTAAGGCTAGGTTGTTTGAGATTTTTGTTTCCTGAGGTAGACGTGTATCACTATAAACATCCCTTTTATAACTGCTTTTGCTGCATCCCATAGATTTTTGGATTGCTGTGTTACATTTTGATTTGTCTCTGGGTGTTTGATTTTTTTTTCTTCAGTGATCCACTGTTAGTTTAGTAGAATATTGTTTTAGACTCCAAGTGTTTGTGGGTTTTTTTGCAGTTCTTTTCTTGATTTCTAATCTCATAGCATTGTGGTCAGGAAAGATGCTTGATATGAATTTCATTTTTCTTAAATTTACTGAAACTTGTTTTGTGGCCTAGCATGTCACTATGTAAACTGGTGCAGTACTTTGATATAAGGATTGTTTACCTGGCTTTCTTTTCATTTCCATTTGCATGGAATATCTCTTCCCATCCCCTCACTTTCAGTCTGTGTGTCTTTAGATCTGAAGTCAGTCTCTTGTAGGCAGCATATATACAGGTATTGTTTCTGTATCCATTCAAACACTCTCTTTTGATTGGAGCATTTAATCCATTTACAGTTAAAAGTAATTATTGATAGGTATGTACTTATTGCCATTCTCTTAATTGTTTTGGGGCTGTTCTTGTAGTTCTTTTTTGTTCTTTTATTCTCTTGTGATTTGATGGCTACCTTTAGTGTTATGTTTGGATTCCTGTCTCTTTTGTGTGTATCTATTACAGATTTTTGGTTTGTGGTTACCATGTGGTTTATATATAGCAATCTATATGTATATATGTAATTACATTGCTGATCTCTTAACTTCAAATACATTTTAACAACCCTGCATTTTTACTCCCCTCCTCCCACATTTACTTTTTTTTGGCATCATATTTTACAACTTTTTGTATCCCCCTAACTACTTATCACAGATATAGATGATTTTACTACTTTTGTCTTTTAACCTTCCTACTAGCTTTACATGTGGTTGATTCACTACCTTTACTGTACTGCCTTTACCAATCAGCTTTTACCGTTCATAATTTTCATGTTTCTAGTTGTGGCTTTTTCTTTTTCGCTTAGAGAAGTCCCTTAACATTTCTTGTAAAGTTGGTTTGGTGGTGAACTCTTTTTATCTTTTGCTTGTCTTCTGTGTAACTTCTTTTTTTGGGCGGTACGCGGGCCTCTCACTGTTGTGGCCTCTCCCGTGGCGGAGCACAGGCTCTGGACGCACAGGCTCAGCGGCCATGGCTCACGGGCCCAGCTGCTCCACGGCATGTGGGATCTTCCCGGACCGGGGCACGAACCCGTGTCCCCTGCGTTGGCAGGCGGACTCTCAACCACTGTGCCACCAGGGAAGCCCTGCTTGTCTGTGTAACTTTTGATCTCTACATCAAATCTGAATGAAGGCCTTGCTGGGTAGAGTGCTCTTCATTATAGGTTTTTCCCTTTCACCATTTAAAATATATCATGCCACTCCCTTCTGGCCTGCAGAGTTTCTGCTGAAAAGTCAGCTGATGGCCTTATGGGAGTTCCCTTGTACATAACTTGTTTCATTTTCCTTTTAATATTCTCTTTATCTTTAATTTTTACCATTTTAATCACAATGTGTCTTGGTATGATCCTCTTTGGTTTGGTCCTGTGCTTCTTGAAGGTGGATGTCTATCTCCTTTCCCAAGTTAAGCAAGTTTTTAGCTACTATGTCTTCAGATATGTTCTCCGCCCCTTTCTCTCTCTCTCTCTCTCTCTCTCTCTCTCTCTCTCCTCCTTCTGGGAGCCCTATAATGCAAATGTTAGTATGCTTGATGTTGTCCCAGAGGTCTCTGAAATTGTCCTTTCTTTTTATTCTTTTTTTCTGTTCCACCTCGGTGATTTCCACTGTTGTCTTGTGGGTCACTAATTTGTTCCTCTCTATCATTTAATCTGCTGTTGATTCCTTCTACTGTATTTTTAGGTTCAGTTATTGTATTCATCTGTTTGGCTCTTCTCTGTATTTTCTAACTCTTTGTTCGAAACTTCTAACTTCTGTATTCATCCGTTCTTCTCCCGAGCTGTTTGATCGTCCTTGTGATCATTACCTTGAACCTTTATTGGGTAGACTGTCTGTCTCCATTTCACTTACTTCTTCTGTGGTTTTATCTTGTTCCTTCACTTGTAACACATTCCTCTGTTTCCTCATTTTGTCTAATTTGCTGTTTTTATTTTTATGTATCTGATAGGTTGGTTACATTTTCCGACCCTGGAGAAGGGGCCTTTTGTAGGAGACGTCCTACGCATCCCAGCAGTGCACTCACCTCTGGTCACCAGAGCTGTATGTATGCTGTAGGGGTGCCCCCTATGTGGGCTGCCTGGGTTCTCCTGTTGTGGTCAGCTGACTGCTGCTGGCAGTCTAGTAGGTATGGCTGGCCCCTGGTCCAGTTCATTGCCAGGCTGCTGGTTGGTAGGGCTGGGTCCTGAGACAGTTGGCTGTGGAATCTCAGAGTGTCCTAGGGCTAGGGCTGGCCCACTGGTGGGCAGAGCTGCATTCTGGGGGTGGGGACTGGGGTTCCCAGATCTAGTGCTGACCTGCTGGTGGGCAGGGCCATGCCCCAGGGGGTCCTGGGGCTGGTGCTTGCCCACTGGTGTGTGGGGCTGGTCCTGGGGTTAGTGTTGGCAGTCTGGTGGGCAGAGCTGGATCCTGGTGTCCGGCTGCAGGGATTGGGGGTCCTGGAGCTGGTGCTGGCCCACTGGTGGGTGGGTCCCAGGGCTAGTGTTGGCACACTGGTGTATGGGGTTAGGTCTTGGGCCCTCTGGACAGGGCTGTGTCCCTGGGCAGCTGTGGGCTCAGGGGGTCTTAAGGCAGCAGCCCTGCTGGTGGGCGGGTCTGTATCCCCACCCTGTTACTTGCGTGGCCTGAGGTGTCCCAGTGCTATTCCTGACAGGCTGACTGGCAGAGCAGCTAAGAAGCTGGTGCTAAGAAGCTGGTGGAGAGGATTCCAAAGTGGTGCTTGCCAGCCCCGGTGTTCTCCTGGTAGACAAGCTCCCCAAAATGGCTGCCACAGTGTCTGTGACCCCAGTGTGAGTTCCAGTTGCCTCCTGCCTTTCTGGAAGGCTCTCCAAGATCAGCAGGTGGGTCTGACTCAGGCTGCTTTCAAATTACTGCTTCTTCCCTGGGTCCTGACGTGTGAGATTCTGTGAGCACCCTTTACAATTGGAGTCTATTTCTCATGGCCCCTTGGCTCTCCTCAAAGTCAGCGTGCTGGCCTTCAAAGCCAAACGTTCTGGGGGCTTGTCTTCCTGGTGCAGGACTCCCAGGGTGGGAAGCCTGATGTAGGGCTTGGACCCCTCACTTCTCGGGGAGAACCTCTGCCATTATAAGTATCCTTCCTTCTGTGGGCTGCCCACCCTGGGGTGTGGGTCTTGGCTAAACCTGCCCCTGCCCCTCCTAACCGTCTTTTTGTGGTTCTTTCTTTATATCTTTAGTGGTAGAAGATCTTTTCTGCTAGATTCCAGTCTCTCTCATCAGCAGTGGCTCTGCAAACAGTTGTAATTTTGTCGTTCCCATGAGAGGAGGTGAGCTCAGCGTCTTCCTGCTCTGCCATTCGGCCAGGTCCTCAAGAGCTAACATGTAGTAAGGCCTAACTCTGTGTCAGACCCTGTGCTGAGCACCTTACACATATTTAATCCTGCCGGGCCTGTAAGTAGGTGCCATTATTCCCATTTTACAGATGAGGAAGCCGAGGCACAGTGAGATTAAGTAACTTGTCCAAAGTTGCACAGCTAGTAAGGGGTGGAAGAGCCAGAATTTGACCCCAGGGCATCAATTTGACCCACACTGCTGCTTTGTGACATTTGGACACCTGGGTCAGGAGCTCAGGGTGGATCTGAGTGGTAGCTGTAGACATGGAGTCATCTGAGGCCAGGACAGCACTTAGGCCCCGTGGAGCCAGCCAGGAAACGTTCCCAGCATCAAACTCGTCCTTTGCATTAATAATCAGGGGTAAGTACCCACATCTGAGGTGCCCTTGAACTTGGGGCACTGTAGGGGACAGTGGGCTGTTTCTTAAGCATCACTGCTCAAGCCTACAAGCCCCTCCAGGATGCTTTGCCCAGAGGAAGGGGGAAGCGGGACGGCATAATCTGGTTACAGCAGCTTTAGGACAGGCCCCCACGAAGACACGTGAGACAGCGCAGGTCCCAGTGCCAAGCAGCCCTCCAGGAGGCCAGCCCAAGGCAGGGAGGGGTGGCAGGTGTGGCATCCAAGCTGTTCTCCGAGAGCCTTCCCCAGCAGGACTTACCCAAAGCTTACTCTTTGCTAAAGACTAAGTTTAGTGTTTGAAAAATTCAGATAAACCCAAATCTTAGAAAGCTGATGTCCTAAAGGACACTACAGGACACCTAGTTCAGTGTCCCCACTTTCCAGAGGAGGACGTTGATGCCCAGAGAAATTAAGTGACTTGGCCAAAACTGTCCAGTTAGGTGTCGTGCCAGGGCCACCACTTCGTCATACGATGATCCAAGGGTGGACACACCAGGTCCTCTACCTGTTGAGAATGTGTAGCCATGACCTTCTTTACTTCGTTAGACCTTTCTCTTAGGGTGACGGCCAGTTTCCTTCCGTCTTGCAGGCCAGAGCCTGTTGGAGCTGTTCTTACTCGAGTCCTTTCACTCCCCGAGGCAGCTGTAGTCAAGTTCTGACTTAAGGTCAGAGAACTCTGGAGTGAGGAGGCGGCAGAACGATGGAGAAGCTCTTCGCCTGCAACCTGCACTCCTTTCTGTAAACTGCTTGCTGCCGCTCTCTGCTGTGGCCCCGCCGGCTTGGCGTCCCTCTTCCTGCACAGGTGAGAGCTTGCGCAGACTGTGATGCAGTCACACGGACCCCCAACAGGGCTTTGCCGCTGCTGCTCAGCAAAGAAAACAGTGCACTCCGCTTGTTGTAAGAAGTGGTCACGCCGATCTTCTGAGGCTGGTGATTCCCAGGCACAGGGAAGGTGGCTCCCATTGGATTGATCTCCCACGCCCTTGCTCAGAAGTGTGATTCCTGGACCAGGGGCATCAGCATGGCCCGGGAGCTAGTTGGAAATGCAGAATCCCAGGCCCACCTAGACCTCGGAGTCAGCATCTGTGCTTTGAAAGGACGCCCAGGTGCTTCCTGGCAGTGGCGCAGGGGAACGGCGCTGTGCCAGGTCCTCTTTCCCAGAGCCACCTTCCTAGGTTACCAGACCAAGGGCATATTATCAACACTCCCACCACCTAAAACGCAGCCAGCAAGCACTGCAGCCCTTCTTGCTTCCCCTAAAACCTTCAAAAAGACAAGACAGGACCAAAAGGTTGAGCGGAGAAGGTCTTTGTCCTATAAAGCAAATCCTCAGGTTGCTCAAGAAAGGGGGCAGATGTAAGTACTCAAAGAACAAAGCTGCCTGGGCTTTCCCTCGGGGCAGTAACTTATATTCATCATTCCCAGGTTACTAAAGGACAGAAAGTTGGTAAATACATTTAGATATTCTTTAGAAGATGTTTGGAAGAAAAAAACTTTTGTACGCCAGGACTAGGACTCATCTAGAAAGTTATTTGTGTCCAACAGCCCTTCCTTCACCGATAACACCAAATAACCTGAGCTGGTTCTGTGTCCTCACAGCTTGCTGTTTTGCTGATGCGCTGACCTACCCCTTCCCCCGACCCCTCCCCCAGCCAAACCAAGAATTTTCGGCGGTTCCTGCTGGTGGTCGATAAAACAACACAGGAGTCAAGGAAATGATCTGTTTTTAAGACTTTTTTTTTTTTGGTTTGTTTTTAAAGAAACTGCATACATCATTAGAGACGAACAATAATTTAAATACCATGCAGTTTCTGTATGTACAAAACCTAGGCCATAGATAGAGACCCAGTTTAACTTGTGTTCTCTTCACACGGTCTTCCTCATACGGCCGGTGGCTGTTAAAGCAGAACACAGGAGAGTTCTCTGATACAAAGACAGACTAGGTACAGACACCCGGGAAGCAACTGGAAAAAAGCAACCGGCTTGGGGATCAACAGACAACTGGGGAGAAAAAGTTGTTTAAGGTGACCTTCGCCCACTGGCTGTGCACAGGGAGGGCCTGAAATTCCATTCACCGAAGCACACACCATGATTTTCATTCGGCAAATATAAATACACGTTCATAAGCAGGAGAAAAATAAGCTCGGAGGTTTTCATCACATCAACCGTCACGTCGTTTGGTTTCTCTAACCTGACATAAAGGCTAAAGTTTTACAGAGCTTTGAGGGCCTTTGGGGAGGGAAATATCAACAATTTCGAAACACTAAGTAGGCTGATGGCCGTCTCTTCTGTCATGGATGGGGTGGGGACTTTGGGGCGATTTGATTTCGAGAGGGGAACATTTTGAGAACTCTCAACGTTTTTCTTCTGATGCTAATGCAAATGAAAAAGGCTCTAACTGCAGCTTTTCCAGAAAAGGGATGCTTTGTAAACCAGCCAGCCCATCTTCTCTTTCCCCCTTAATATGGAATCGTCATCTTGGAAAGAAAGAAACACATTTTTCCATTGTCATAACAACGTGGCAAAAAGGAAATTTGGATAGATTTCTATAAAGACCTCAAGACTTCAAGGAAGGAAAGACAGCAGAGGGCTCATCCTGTGGCCTACGGAAGTTGCGGAGCTGCTTACAGCGGGCTTGGAAGAGCCCAGCTCGCGGGTGGTGACACGGGAGGGGCACCCTTCCACTTGCAGGGAGTTACTTCGGGAAAAGGCTGCCCTGCAGGAGAAGTGGAAACTGCGTTCGGCTTCTTCCACGCACAAAGCGGCTGCAACCGTAGGGCACTTTGGGCGGGAACCCGGGACCGCTGGCTAGCTGCGGGGAACTCGATTTAGGCATCGTGTTCCCGGGGAATCTGAAAGGCCTGGAACCACGGCCAGCAGAGAAGCCACTGGCCTCTGCAAGGCGTCCAGGCAGTGGAGTGAGGTCCCTTAGGACTCGCTCCTGGGCCAGGGGCAGGCTGACTGTTGCTCCAGGCCACCGCGAGCCACAGGAAGCCCAGACTCAGATCCTGGCCCGGCGGGCACCTCAGCCTGGAAGACTCGCCCGCCGTGGAGGAGTTACACGGCAGAGCCCCACGTCCCTCGGCGTGCCATCTGCACTTTCAAAGGTCAGTAAGCCTTTCGGGAAGACGCCATTTACAGCCACGCTACAGCCCTGGCCACATCTTCCCTGAATCAGTCACCCCACCCACGGCCGTAGCTATGCAGATTCACCATTCAAAGAAAAAAGGATGGGGTGACACGTCCTCCTGGGGCTGGGCGCCAGGCGCTGCGAGGAAAGCGTGCGCCAGCTTGGCACCAGCCGGCGGGCACTGACTGGAACGCTGCCCCGAGCTCCCTGCCAAGTGCACGGTGACGCCGGCCACAGGGGCCGTGAGCGCCAGCGGAAAAGGAACTGGCCTCACCCATGGCTGTGGAGCCCAAGAGTAAATTGATCCCACGCGTTTTGGGGTGGGGACCAGTTAACTCTTTTTTTGTGAAGCCCAAGCTTGGCAGCTTTCTAAAGCCTGGGCCTCTGTGGTGGGGAGCAAGCCATCACTGGGAGAGCTGGTAGGAACTACAGGATCATGGCAGGATGCCAGGCAGAGCTGCATGGCTGAGGGCCCTACAGGCTCCATCAGGAAGGAAACCGGAAGCAGCTCAAGCGGCCTCCTTCAGAGCGCAGTCAGGGTTTGGAGAGGCCCCTCCTCCACTGCACATCCTACCCTCACCTACCCTGTCACCGCTGCTTTCCTGTGGTCCCGAGAGAGGAGGGTGGTCAGAGGTACATCTCCAGTCACCCTCACCAGCATCAAGGGGGAGAGGAAGGATGCTCCCCAGAGAAGCAGGCGTGGAAGGTCCAGCACAGCAGGTGTGGCTGGCGTCTGCCCAGCGCTGGGGCTTCTGCACAGACTCTTCAGTGCAAAGCAAGCCTGGAAGGCCCTCAGGTGGTTCTGGAGGACCAGTCCACCAGCGGCTGGAAATTCAGCCTTTCAGGAATGGTTTCTGGCCTGCAGGCATCGGTCCTCGACTCAAAGGCCATTAACGGCCAAGCCACCCGGTCACCAGCCCTGGGACATGCAGAGAAAATGAAGAACATGGGCCAAGCAGTTTGTCACCCCAGCCTTTATGCCCTCAAAAGGGGTCTCACGCTCACACGCGTGATCCCACCATGCCGCCCGTGGCTGTTGGTATGCGTAAGATCACCCGTGACACCGGGCTTTGCTAATGACGACTTTCCCCTTCTAAACCAGAGCTTCCTGGAAGGCAGCCCGGCTCAGCCTGAGGGGACAGGACAGGCGCTCGTGCCAGCCTTCCAGGCCTGGAGCACACACTGTCGGCCACAGGCTCCCCCAGAAAAGGGCTCTCCCGGGCTTTCAGTTCACAGCCTGGGTGATGCTGGAGGGAGAGGAGGACGCTGCTCCCTCAGCCGCCGCCTCAGGGCCCCCCAACCACGTGGCCCACCTGGAGCCCGTGCATCTGGCCAAGCCTAGAAGGCCAGCCGGACCGCCCGCTTTGCACAGTCATCCCAGGCCAGATCCACCGCCTCGGCTTTCTTTGCACTCTGCCTCCAAAGTGTCTGTCGCCTAAGGCTCGCCGGAGCCTGAACAAACGTGGTACCTGCCAGCCTGGCCGGAGAGGCCCAGGGCTTCTCCTAGTGCTGGAAAGTCTGCGGTGTCCTCGGCCCTGCCCGGGGCAGGGCACAGTCCCTTATCAGCAGTGGCACCAGCACCTCTGACCACGGAGCCGTAACCATCGCCATCCTGCTTGTGTTTCCTTTTCCTTTTCCTCTTCTTTTAAAAAAAGGTAGTTCAGAAGATTTACATCGTAATGGGGAAGTGAATAAATACCAGCACTTATGGTTCTTATAAACTTATGTTTTGAAGACAGCATAGCACTCAAGAGGAATTCGACTGTTAAGGTCGGTGAAACCTAGGAAAACAAATAATTCAGTCAAGACCCAGGGGCTGCGAAAGGTGTCGGATTTGACACTCTAAGATCTCCATCCTCGAATTCCTTGTTTCTGACAGCCACAGGAAGGCTTAAATCTCCAACCAAAGGCAAATAAATCTCCACAGTACCCCTCAAGAACTTTAGGCCCACCGAGTTCACCTTTGGTTTTGGAGAAGTTTAGCCTGGAGCTCCCGGGGGCTCTCAGCCTATGCAAGGGCTCAGCAGCAAGGTGGGGACCCCAGCCTCGCGTCTCCGAGCCAGGCACTGTTTCTCCAGATGTTCACCAAAGGAGAGGGTCAGAAGAACTCAGTCAGCGGCTCCGTCGCTGACTAGCCCTGTGACCTTGTATAAGCCCCTCCTATCTCTCTGTGCTTCAGTTTCCCCAAGTAGCATCACACACGACTGTCTGGGAGAACGACATGGAATCAGGCATGATCCCACTTCCGAAGTCCCATGAGGATTCGGTACTTTATCCTAGTTTGGTCTCCGTTGGCAAGTGATCTTTTCTCCTCAGCTTATGTTCTCATAAATACCCACCATGTTGGTGGTCTGGCATTTAGCAGATCTTCGGTTTGAATGAGTTAAAAAACTAGGCTTTGAGAAGGTTGCGTTCAGCCTGGGCCTTTCATGCTCCTTCCCTTACTTTCAGAAACCACAGTGGAACCTGTGGATCCCCATGTAGCTCTTTCTATCTTCTCCCCTCACTGCACCCACCACACCACTTGTCCTCCAGAAGCAGCTAGGGATAGTTCAGTTTGTGGGTAAATGTTATAATTTGAGGGGAAAAAAACCCCACTTGATACTAACCTTGTTAAATGTCTACTCAATTCGTGAACTTCCATTTCAGTGCTTTTAAATTCATTGAGCTCCTTCCGAATGGCAGCCTGCAAGGAAGAGAAGCCCATGAGAGTGCAGAGGCTGGAAAGCAGCTCACCTTCTTTTATTCCTATGTTTTCTTTCTTCGACAAAGCCATACACGTGCATAAAACGGATTCTTCCACCGGGAGAAACAAAATCACCTGAGGTCTCCTTTAGAGCCTACGAAGAGTCCCGTCCCCCTAAATCTAAGTTGCGAGCAATCCGATTTGGGATCCTGCCCAGAGCTGTTCCACCTGGGCAGCGAGAAGGCCCTTCCACCTGGCCCACACTCCTGGGTCCTGAGTGCACATATCTTTCTTTGGTGAATCTAAGCTCATCAGAGGCACAGCGATGCCTCAGGATGGATACTTCTAGAGGAGGTGTGTGAAATTCCCCAACCAAATGAAGGGGGTGATGGCCAGCTGCCCCCTTTCCCTTTGACTCATGAAGCCTTGGCTCCTTTACAAGTCTGTTGACTCTGAGGTGATATATTTCGCCATGGAGGGTATGGAATGTGTTTTGAATAACCTCAAACACGCATGAGATAAACCTGAATGACCTCGTCCTCACAGTCACAGATGTGGCCATCGTCTGGGGCCACCGAGAAGGCGGAAGGAGGACCGGAGCAAAAGAACGTCTGGGGTTGGAGAAAACCTTACTTCTTCCTCGGGGCTGAAAATTTAAACGTGGGCCCATTCCCATAGCTCTTTCTAAGGTTGATACGTGCTTTGATGGGAAGATGATCAGGGCACGGAGAGTCTGAGGATGGAAGTCTTTTTTTTCCATTCATCCAAAAAACTTCTACTGTGTGCATTTGTACTGTGCTAGGTGTATTATGCAAAGAGGAATCAGAAAAGTTGCCACTGTTTGAGAGTTAACAGTCTGACAGGAGACACAAGTGCATAAATAATAATTTATAAAATGATAGGCATCTCTAGAAAGGAACAGATAAAACAATTTCTACTTCAAGTTGGTCGTCCATTTTTGGAGAGCCAGTTAAGATGCCACCCCTCAGTCAGACTGCTTGTATAAGTAAGATTAAGGGCAAGGCAGAAAGCAATTTAATACTTTTTGTTTTTGTATATGTGAGAATTTTTATGATTATAAAAGTAATGCATGAGAAAATGGGCAAGGGACTTGAACAGACATTCACAAAAGGCCAGTCAACATATGCAAAGGGGCTTGAGCTCATCAGAAAACAGGGAAATGCAACTAACCATCCCGAGAAAGCACTACACACCCACCCAAAAGGGCTAAGATGACACCACGTGTTCACCGAAATGGGCAACGATGAGAACTCTCATAAGCCGCTGGGGAGTGTGTAAATTCATACAATCACTCTGGGACACTCTGTGGCATTACTACTAAAGCAGCGAAGCCTCGCCACACTGCAGGACACACGTATTCTACTTCTAGATTCAACCTCAGCAGAAACGTGGGCACTCGTGAATGAAAAGACATGGAAAAAGGATGTTCATAGCAGCGTTATTCATCACAGCAGCACGGTCCAGCAGCAGTAAAGCGGGTAGATACATTTTGGAAGATTCATAACTCTAAATACTGTGGTATTTCTCTTTACGGTCCTCTTTGCGCGTATTTTATATTAAAGATACACACTCTGTGCCCTTCCATTAAAAATGTAGTAACAAGCGTTTCTTCCTAAGATAAAGTTATTTGTAAACATTTTAATGGTCACACGATAGCTGACCGTATTCTTGTTACTGTGATCATTAACATGCACTGTGTGCCAAGCGCCGTGTTCAGTACTTTGTATTCTCTATCCAGCCTGATCCCAGAGCGCTGTGCTCTAGCACAACCATTGTTTCATGTCCTCACCTACGGCTGAAGTCCAGGCAATCTGCTTCTGCCCAAAGCCCCAGCCTCTGAGGCTGCTGGTCCGTTAGTCCTCAAAGCGTTATCTCCTTATCAATCAAACCATTAGCAACCAGGGCCACCACCTCAGGCCCACTGGCCTAGCCAATTCCGTCTACCAGAGCAATGCTATTTGGGACAAAGTGGACATGGTACCACACTTGCTGCTGGTGTGGCTGTCCTCCAGTTTATCTATTCCTTTCTGGAAATTTCAACCTTATCATCTCACTCTTACTCTCACAATTCTGCCTCAAAAATGTGACTGAAGACAGGAGATTAAGAACCCTGACAAGGTACTTCCATAAGCTTCCTTTTCTTTTTTTCCTTCCCACTATCCCCCAGGCAAGAAGGAGCTGACTTGACGTTCCCTCTTCTTGGCTGGGGGCTTCCCTCTTCGTTCCTTCCAAGGAAGCTCCTCTTCCTTAAGGCAGTAAAACCACATGGTCTAAGAGAGACCAATGGGAATGTCTTCTATGCCATGGAAGGAACGCTATGGTCTGAGTCCTCCAGATGTAGCCCTTGATATGGGACCAGAAGACTATACCAGCAATTGGTAAATATCCCAAACAAAAAAATACATTGCTCTGCTCTCCAAAAATGTATCTTTGTCTTACAATTACTATTTTTAGTGTAGAGTGAGTGCCTGTCTCACCTCTCTCCTGACCTGTATTTGTTTTCGTTTTTTAAAATTTTTTTATACAGCAGGCTCTTAGTAGTCATCAGTTTTATACACATCAGTGTATACATGTCAATCCCAATCGCCCGATTCATCCCCCCACCACCCCCGGAAAAGTCTTTACATAGGATCAGAATGGCTCCTCCCAAGGAAGGAAGGCACTCGGTTAAAGCGCCTGGCTGGGCGGGGGGTGGTGCCTGGCTGGGGGGTGGGTGGGAGGTGGGGGCACTGCTTCCCAGCAGCCCCGGGGGAACCGGATTGGCTCCCTCACAGCTGCTTAGGATTCTAGCTGGTACCTTCCCTTCCCTTGACTGCAGCAAGCACGCTGCAATGAGTGTGAGCAGAGCGAGGTCACATCTATGTGACACAGCTGCCCGGGGTGGGACGGAGGGGCCTGTCTCCTGCCCGAGGTGAGGGGTGCCGGTTCTTGGGGCTGCTCACCATGGATTCCTACAGAGGGGAGAGGTGAGGTTTCCACTCGTCAGGACCTGGGGGCTGGCCTGCCCCGGGCGGGGCGGGGGGGGCCGGTTTCTGGGAGGTGCCTCTGGCCGCGTCAGTTCCCTCCCCCTCCCCGCCTCCCAAGTGCAGCGGCTTCCCTGGGCTCACACTCCAGCCAGAGGCCAGGCTCCGGGTGACCTCCCGCATGGCCTGTGAGGAAGCCACCTGCCCCGGGAAGGGATGGGGCAAAGGCAGGACTCTAGGAGAAGGTCCCCGGTGTACCCGAGTCCCCTTATTGTCACTTGCACACTGCACAGCGTTATTGTCCTACACTTTTTTTTTTTTAAAGGCCCTTACCCTCCAGTTCCTCATGGTGCCTGGATAAGAATCACAAAGGATCCCCAAGCAGAGGTCCCCTTAGATACGTGTATGGATGAAAGGCATCTGTCTTGTGCCTTCTCCAGAGCAGGGGAGGACCAGCTCAGCGCCCTCTCCGCACGCTGTCTGGAGCCCTTGGGGAAAGGTGCCGGGAGCAGCACCGCAGCCTGCCCGGCAGCCACTCAGCCCCCAGTACCGACCCAGGCACCCTGGCTCTGCGCCCAGGCTCCACGCGGTCTCCGGGCGGCAAGCTGGAGACCCAGCACCCGGCTGGCCGTGAGGCCCCGCCCCTCTTACTTTGTCGGCAGCGGTGAGGCGGGTCCAGGGCTTGTCGGCCCTGCGGTCATAGTCCTGAGCATCGGCCACCTCCACGTAATCGCTGAAGCGGATGAGGATCTTCCGCTCTCTCAGCTCTTCCACTGTGGGCCTCTGGCTGAGCTGCGGGACGGGGAGATGGATGTGGTCAGCCCATGACGTTTAGATCACTTGGTCCATCCGTGAATTTAGAGGCGGGAAGACGAGGTCCAGAGAGGCAGCTGACGCATCACGCACACGTGAGGGGCAGGGCCCGGGGGACACAGGGCTCCCGATTCCTGGACTTCTCCAGGACCCTGTGAAGGAGTTTACTAACTCATGAGCTGCCTCCAGGCCGTCTCTTAATAACACTGCAGTGTCTCGGTCTGCACACGCGGTGTGTCTTTGTGCATGGGTGTGGATCTTCCCAGGTCTGTCCTACCTTTCCCATCAGGGGACAGAAACCTTACACAACGGTTTTTTTTTTTTTTTTCTTTTTCGATACGCGGGCCTCTCACCGTTGTGGCCTCTATCGTTGCGGAGCACAGGCTCCGGACGCGCAGGCTCAGCGGCCATGGCTCACGGGCCCAGCCGCTCCGCGGCACGTGGGATCTTCCCGGACCGGGGCACAAACCCACGTCCCCTGCATCGGCAGGCGGACTCTCAACCACTGCGCCACCAGGGAAGCCCAACACACAACAGTTTCATATTCTCGATTTGTGAATCCACATCTGTGTGTTAAATTTAGTGCTCTCTGCAAGATAGGTTTGTAATACTTTGTGTGTGTGTCTTAGACACAAAGAAAGTGTATGTGCAAACGGTGTGCAAACTCCGGGGTGTGCAGGAATGAGAGTATGTTGATTTATGAGGCCAGGGAGACCCTACCCCTCAATAGCTCAAATGAAAGGCGAGTCCACAAAGGCAGAGCTAGCCCGTGTTGATGCCAAAGAAGACTCGGACGGGCCCTTTGGATAGGTCTGTGGTGAAGGAAGGAAACAAGTGAATTATTCAACCATCTCCCAGTGTTACCCGCTAGCATCCTTCCTTTGTACTTTAACAACATAAGGCTGACATTTCTATTATCTCTTCCTGTCACCAGATTTACTTCTTCTGGAGCAACACAGTTGCTCTCTCTTTAGGATGCTGTCAATTCATGTTCAACCGATATTAGTTAAAAGCAATTTTTCTCTAAGCCCTAGACTGTATTTAATTCTATTCACAGAAGATGCAGTCAAATAGAATCTTACCACAAAGGCCTACAAAACAAACACACGCATGTGAATCCAAACCACCCCGGCTGTTTTGACTGTATATCACGCAGCTGCCATACACCTTTGGCTGGTGCCAGAATGTCCCAGCTTGCTACCAACTGGCCTACAATGGAAGAGCATCATTAGATGACTGCCTGGCTGGTGCTGAGCAGAATGGTGACAGCTACTGCGAGGCTCCGGACAGGACCAAAGCAGCCTGCTGGTCCCCCTTGGCCAAGGGAGGGGAAACCTGGGGCTCAGAGGCCTACTGGGCTGTGGCACTGGTCACCTGTCTAGACGCTGTGTAGCTCCCGCACAGTCTGTCCCGAGGTGGCCCTGGTTTGCCCGGGACAGGGCATTTTGGCATCAGCTGTGACCCGTCACAGGAAACCAGAGGTTTCCCACGCTCTATGGTTAGGGGTGCTGTAAACAAAGCTGGTGGCCTATCCTGACTCCAAGATGTGAGTGCAGGGTGCTCTGTACTGTCATTAGAGTACGTAGGCATTTACCGTAATACCACAAGGCATGAAGACTTCTACTCCAAGCCCCAGTTTGTATTTCTAAGGACTTACTAGCTCGCCCTGAGGTGTCAGACAAACAGTACTATTTTCTAAGTGTGCCATGACAGGAGAAAGGTTGTTAAAGTCGGAATTTCTAATTTAAATTTCTCACAGTCATGATGTAGATTTTATTAATAGCCTGTCTATGGTAGAGTCTGGAGTGAACAGAAACCTAGAGGTTGGCTCTGAAGGTGAGGGGCTATTGTTCATGCCTGAATCTGGTGGGGATTAGACACGACCACTCCAGATCAGTAAGAGACCGGGCCCAAGTGCCACCAGGGAGTGAGTGAGGAGGATGCCGAGTTCTCCTGCCGGGAGAACAACTGCCCGGACTCTGCTGTGATCCAGGGCTCACACCCCTGGCCACACGGGGCTCAGGAGAGGTGCCTTTGGCTCCTGGATGGCTCTAGCCCTTGGGGTGCGTGAACCCAACTTACTTGCCTGGACACTAAGGAAATCACCTTTGCAGCCAAAGTTGGTTTTCTGCGGACGATGGGCTGGAAGAAGGGGTGGGGTGCAGAGGTTGGTAGCGTTATGTTTCCATCTATGGCAGCAATAATATCGTTTGCAACCAATTACTCAACAACAGGGTACGTTGAGACCCCAATTCCACTATCAATACAACCTGACCCAGGTACATTTCTTCCCTTCCTTCCCTCCTTTCCTTCCTCCCTTCCAGCCATCCTCCCTCCAATACTTCCCATTCATCCAGCCAGCCAGCCAGCTAGCGAGTTTTTGGAAGTGGGAAGCAGGCATTTATTCCAAGATAAAGCATGTAAATTTTAGGTCAGTCTCAATTTGGCTGAAGAAAATGCCTGGTCTGCGGCTCTCAGCATCTGTTACAGAGTTTTATTCTTCTGTCTTAAACAGAACGATACTGAGGAAATGCTCGGGCTGAGGGTAAGTGAAAAGCACCCCCCACCACTGGCTTCTGCTCTTGGTGTGATAAAGGCTCCCGAGGGCAGAATGTGCCCAGAGCCAGGAGGCGATATGGATTCCCTACCTGCTGGCACGCTCCACATCTCTGTTCACAAAACCAGATGTGAACGCTGCTTCTGGTCTCTCCCTCATAAACAGTTTATCCCTTCACTCAGGCTCATTATTTCTAATTCCCCAAGCCAGTCCCAGGGGAGGCAAATGCTGAAATTACAAGGCAGTTTTCCTGGGAGAAGGAAAGAGAGGTAACCAGGGGGAGGAAGAGGCATTCATCGATAGACTTGAGGACCTGCAGAAACCCCACCCCTAGCATTACCCCTCCCGTGGAAGATGGGTGTGGGAGGAGACCCTCTTCTCTCACCCCGTCCTGCCAAACTATGCAATTAGTCAAGCTTTCCCTTGCAAAATCGAATGCTCTTTTTAAAGAGATGAGAATTAGGTGCATGTCCAGATCTTTCTCTATTACTAGTTTTTAGCAAGAAACCCTAAAGTTTAGGAGAATTTTGGGGTCCCAGCAATCAAGTCCAATGAACTTTATGAAAATCTGATTAAACATTTTTTCTGAATGTCTAGACCTTTCTCTATCAGAAACGAGGCGTCATCACCAGTCTCCCTTTGATACCCTCATCATTTCAAAGACACAGAATAATGCATCTCCCCCGGTCCCCCTCACTACTCAGTCTCAGGGAAAGGGATGCCCTGCGTCCAAAGGCTGGGTGGTCTTAAGGATGTAAGAGTCAGACCTTGACTGGAGTGAGGGCACCTGGATGAAGTGAGGGCCCTTAGCTCTTGTTCGAGTTTCCCACCAGGGGACACCAGCCCGTCAGCGGCTTGTCAGGCCCTTGCTTATCCTACTCCCTTTAATTGGGATGGTGTTTGGCTTGTCACCATATGTTTGGGACGCTCTAAGGGCAAGACAGTGTTGAGAAACACAAATCATCACCTTAATAATTGGTACGATATTTCAGGATCTCTGAATTTCCTCCTTTGCATAATATTTCTAGGGAGAAAAATCCATTAACAAACCTTTAGAAAATTAATTTTAATGGGTCTCTTAACTGTCTCTAAGCTTTGAGCATCTTTCTCTCAAGATGGTCACTGTAGGAAGCTGATGAAAAACACTCTAGTCAGACAGAATATAGTAGTATACCTTCTGTGTCATTAATTAAAGTTGTCAACATCCTCCAAGAATAGCCTCAAATAAGAGTTTATTATCAAAGGGGCCACTCATAGAATTAGATCCACTTGGGTCTACATTACATTGCCAAGCCATCTATTTTGGGGGTTAAAAACATATAAAAATTCTAGCTTTCTGACTTTTATCTAAGTGCTTTTCAAACATCTTCATTAGATTTATCAATACTTTTGGCATTTTCCTAATTCAGTAATTCAAATTGGATTTAGCATAATAAACTCAAATAGTTCTTAGGAAACAGGTCAGGAATAGTATCAGTGGAGACAAGGAAAACTCGCACTTTCCCAGGGTCGTAGCAAATAACTGATACATCAGAACTTGTGATTTTGATAATGAATTTCCAGTTGCCTCATGGGGTTACAGTGAATTTTTAAGAACAAAATATTCACTGTAACTGCAAATAGAATGCACCTGACATCAAGTTGCTTGGGGGTAGGCTAGTGTCACAGCCCAAAGGACTGAGGGTCATGAAGGTGAGTGGACCACTGGCCCCTGGAGAGGTCCTGGAGAGTCCAGAGAGCCGCATGCCCTGACACCCGAGGAATGGAACCATTAATGTCACTTCCAATGGGCCAGGCAGCTGCAAGGCCAACATAGGGCACAGCAGGGGAGGGTGGCCCCCTGTCCCGCCCCAGCTCGGTATGGAGAATCGTCTCACCTTCCGAGTTAATCTCCTCTTGATCTCTCGTTTCTCCTCTTGTTCCTCTTGTTCATTCCGAGCTGAAAGAAACATTTAAGATGCTTTAGATTTTGGTAGCGGTGTTGCACAAAGGTGCACCTCTGCAGGTTCTAGGCCAAGCAGCTCAGTTTTTTTTTTTTTTTTTTTTTTTTTTGCGGTACGCGGGCCTTTCACTGCTGTGGCCTCTCTCGTTGTGGAGCACAGGCTCCGGACGCGCAGGCTCAGCGGCCATGGCTCACGGGCCCAGCCGCTCCGCGGCATGTGGGATCTTCCCGGACCGGGGCACGAACCTGTGTCCCCTGCATCGGCAGGCGGACCCTCAAACACTGCGCCACCAGGGAAGCCCCAAGCAGCTCAGTTTGAAAAGGAGGAGAGAGTTCCCGTCCCCTACCCTGGCCACCCTTTCTGCTTGTGGGGACACTTTCCAAACTGCCTGTACTGTTTCAAATGGGTGGTGAGTGGGTTGACCTTATTTTGTTTTACGTCACACGGGGTTTCAAGTCTGCAGGCCGAAACACTGGGCCAAGAGGAGGGGCTATGAGGCAAGGAGGTAGGTCCTGAAAGAGTGGGGTACTATCTGCAGTGACACAGGCATCCGGGGAGAGGTAAGGCTCCCTTCTTTGGACGAGACCTGGGCCTCACGCAGCTCTGCTTCAAGCCTCACAGCGACCGAAGGGGACTTGCTGTGATGTGGCCCTGGTGCCCGGTGCCCTGCGTGGATGGAACAGAAGCCAGGCCCCGCGGGGGCGCCTGCCACCTGCCACAGGAACAAAACGAGGCACGGCTGATGCCAAACGCAAGGCTGGAATTTCAAAACGCTCACCTTTCACAAGTCCTGATTCCATTAATTCTTTGAATCTTCCAACAAGTCCACAGAGCACGGGTGAGGCCACAGTGTGGGATACAACTGCCTACATTTAGACTTCTAAGGAGCGTCTTAGGAGAGCAGACTCCAGAGCTTAAACCTTCTCAGCTCAATATGTGGGGTGACTTAGCATCAGGTGTGTAAAGTGCCGAAGGGAGCAGAGGTTCGGAGGACAGAGAACGCGGGAGTATCTAAGTAACGCAGTGACCTTGGGTACCTCACTTTCCTCCCAGGCCTTGCGATGGAAGCACGGATCGCAGCATAATACTGTCTAACTTGAAGAAAAATCACGAACGTCAGCCTGGCTTCCATGCCTCTGCTTCCTGTCTACTGAACTGAGGGTGGCATCAGAGAGAGACCACCACTGCCACTTGATTTTGCACAGGCTGCATCAAAAGGGCCCTTGTTCTCTCATTTTGAAATCACTGTTGGAAATTATGGTTCCATAACTCCATTAACTTACCGCGCAGCGCGCACTCACCCTTGAGTGGTTTCAGTATAGAACAGGGCTTTAAAACAGGGACCCCCTTGTGCCTAGAAGTGGGGTGCCCTCGCCCCTCCTGCCAGCCTGATGGCAGCAACCACAGCCTCAGTTAACTCACACTGCAGGTGGCAACACCTCCCGCCAGAAGGAACGGCGGTGGTTCAGAGCACAACTCACATCCTTGAGCGATACCCCCGGGGGCACGGTTTGGCCAGTGTGACTGCCTGTGGTGACCAGGATCTTGGACCGGGGCAGCTCCAGAAATGGCCACATCCTGCCGTGGGCCAAAGTCCCCAGGGGTCCCCGCTGCCCCAAACCCCACGCGAGAGCTCCTTCCTTTGAATTGAAAGGTCCTCCTTCCCCGCACCCCCGCCCCCACCCCAGGGTTCCTTTTAAAAATGAGAATTTCTCTTGGATAGAAACCTGTTCAACTAGTCAGCCATCACTATCTTAGTATGAACTAATGTATCAGAGAGAAACTGGGAGGCAGACTGCCAGCCCCAGAAGAAGGGAAGCCCCCAAGAGCTGCATTTGTAGGTGGGAGGGAGGACGGAAGGAAAGGTCTAGTGGATGGTGAGCACCCGGGGGGCAGCTCGAGGGCACTGGGTTGAAATGTACAGACTTGTAGCCATATCAGGGCCAGGAGGGGCCCACGAGACCACCTAGGCTACTGCTCGTGGCTTGGAAATGAGGATAGGAAGGTCCAGGGGGTTTGAGCGGCTGGCCACACACTCCATGGCTAACAGACAGACAAACAGTCCAGCTCCTTTTCTTGCTTGGCTACGCTGCCTCCCCCCCATCCCATTTTGCTCAGGGCCAGCCCTCTCCTCCTCACTGGTTACTGGCCTCAGACTCCACTCGGAGCTGCCTCATCCTACAGGCCCCCTCCCGAGCCGTGAAGGTCGACATCCTGCCCAGAGCACAGAGCCCTCATCGCCTACAGGTGTTCCTGAGGTCCCTCTGAGGGCTAGGGGTCCCAAGCTACCACCTATGGAATCTATACCTTTAGTTCAAAGCCATTTACAAACCCAGGGTCATGAATTCTCAGGCAGCAGGGACCAAGACAGCCCCACTGGGCAAGTGGGAAGGGAGACCAGGAAAAGCCCTCGAGGTCATGGCCTGCTGCCACCATCAGAGAGTACACTGTGTGCTCAGATGTGCCCGGGGTCTCACTGGCTGCCCAGTGGAGCCAGTACTGCCCACAGGGCCGGGCGGCCTGGGGTGGGAGTCAGACCCGGCTTGCAAAGCTCCACCGCCCAGCCAAGCCACCGCTCTGGGCCTCTCTCCTGCACACTTAGAGATGTGGTTCATCCCTTGACTTAAAGCCCAGATGATAATTCTCAGAATACACTGTTTGAGGGTTGTCTTCTGATACCACTAAACATTTCTTGTTTAACAATCACACAAGATTTTAAAAAGAGAAAGAAAAAGCTATTTCGGAAAACAAAATTTCAGAACGCAGGAGGAAAAAAAGAAAAAATACCGACAGGAAAAATAAGCTCCTTTCCGAAAAGTTCTGAAACTGCGACATGATGACCCTGTTTGAATGTGGTCAAGTGATCCTTCAATTTGCAACTACTCAAACGGACAAACACGCAAGAGGCAACAACGAAAGGGAACTGTGGGAACAACTTGTAAGCCCCTGGCTCCCCTGAACCTGAGCCCCCAGGCTCACTGGACGCAAGTAACTGTCTCTAAGACCCAAGTGTCTTTCAGGAGGGTGAGAAAAACCTAACTCGAGGGGCCTGCCCGCCGCCTCCCATGGATCTGGGCAGATGAGGCGTGGAAGCTGGTGCCTTCGGGAAGCCAGGTGAGCTGGGGATTCTCTGCCTTCTCTTTCCAAAACCTGTGCCCTCGCCGAGAGAAGTGCTGTCTTCTGAAACCTGAACAATTCCACAGACGTTTTTAGCCCCTTCACATTTAAGAGTTAGGCTGGGAACCCCAGGTACCATGTGGCCCTGTAAGAAAGTTGTACAGAGATTCCTTCGGCAGGACCACGGATGCATGTGAGGCACATCTGTGGGAGAAGTTTAAAAGGAGAAGAAGAAAGCCCGTTCACCAGATTTCTTGCTTTAGGAACAAATGGACACCTTTTTGTCTTTCTTTCTCTCTAACGTAGACAATTTATAATGGATCAGCTATCAAGTTGGGGCAGAAAGGGAGACACGCCGGCCAAATGCTTCCCCAACCAGGAAAATCATCTGAAAGAATTCTAACTCTGGTTCACGGCAAAGTAAACTTAGAAATTTTAAAGGCACCCCCTTTGTTAGGAACTTCCTAGAGATCTGGGAAATGGGTGAGGTGCCCTCAGGACTGAGGAAGGTCAAGGCTGAAAGGAGCAGCCACTGTGAGGCGAGGGCGTGGCCGAAGCCCAGAGCAGCGCGGCAGGATGCTGGTGGAGGCACAGGGCACGCAGGTGGGTGCCCTGGGGTACGGGTGCTGTGGGTCACGACAGCGGCCCCCCCATCACAGCCCTCGCCCGTGACATTCAACAGCAAACCATTTGGCTCGGACCCAGTCCCAAGGCCACAATGAGGAAGGCGAGAAAAGCAAAATCAAGAACATTTTTGTTTGGTCCAAGTGGAAATACCCAGCTACTCACGCAGGGGCCTCACGTGACCGGGGCGTGGGTGTGTGCGTGCGTGTGTGTGCGTGCATAGCACAGAAATTCTGTAAAACTCTGTGTAGCATGTATTTCTCTTTTCTGGAGCAAATCAGAAAGGGATAGACGTGTGGGGAGAAAGGGTCTGAAATTAAACTAAAAATATCTGTTGACCATCTAGAGGGCAGTGTCGGTGAGAGTGTAGCATGATGAAGCTGAGAGGTTTTAGTTTTCAATTGCTGAATATCTCCCCCTAAATTGTGGCATACTGGTTGGTGCCCATGAGATGCTTGATTTCTTTCAGCATTTTAAAAATAGGTATTTTAAGCACTACATGGACTTTCTGTACCTAGGCAAATATCTCTGTGTCCTGAACCAAACAAGAGGCTCATCGGCTTTTTCTGTCCACAGACACAGTGACAGCGAGTTTTGTTGAATGAGAGCCTGGGCAGCTATACCAGCGGCCAGTTGTAGGAGCCTGAGAGGAGGCCAGGAAGGATTTCCCCTTGGAAATGCTCCCTTAGACGTTAGGTTTAATGCTCAGAGGGAGGGGGGATTTTATCCCCAGCAGCTGGCTGCAGTGGAAAGTCACACGTTCTGGTCTTCGTTTTCAAATGGCTACTTGCCCTATTTTAGCCATCAGTATCATATTTGCAGTTTTTCAGCCAATCTGGGTTTAAAGGTGACCCCAACTCTCACTTACTAGTAAGTTCTCTCACTCAAACTTTTCAGCTTCTCTGACTTGGCAGCCCACTAAAGGGCAGGTTCTTGCAGACCCTGAGGTCCTCACGAACCAAGTGCATTCGAATTTGCTTGCTCTGTGGGGATGCTCTCTCAGATGTTCGAACACACAAGGGCGAAGCCTCCGCCACCAGAGAGGGTTTCGATCGCTTCCACATCAGCACACAGGAGAAACCCTGTGGCCTGCCATCAAACAATAACCAAAGCCACCACGAAACAGCAGCGCTTGCCACGGGCTCGGTCACTTACGTTTCAAAATGTTCCTCTGCTCCAACTCCTCTGCAGTCGGCCTCTGGCTCAGTCGCCTGCGGAAGAAATCCAGGAAAAGTTTTTGGACCATATCATAGCCTCCTTGGGTTGTTAATCTCCCCGGCCGTCGCAGATACATGGGGCAGGGTCAGCGGCTGGAGGCCCTGTTCCATCCTGTGCTCTGAAAGACTGGCGCTCACCACCAATGCCTCCTGAGTTCCTCGTTTTCAACCCCAGGAAAGGCATCGACGTGATGTCACGTGGAGCCGAACCCCCTCCCTCCATAGGCCCCTCCCCAGCCCTGCTCCTCCGGGCCTCCAGGCGCATGGACTCTTCTCACAGAGGTCCCTTTCTTTCGTGTGGCCTCCCAACTTCTGGAGCATGGCCTCTGCTTTTCTCCCCCCGGCCCCGAGGCTAGAGCTTGCCTCTTGCCATATTTGTGCAGACTCAGAACACAAAGAGGCTCACGGCCCCATGGAGACGGGAGAGAGCACGTCTGTCTGCAGAGAGCAATAGCTGCTCTTTTGGTCCCCACCCATCGCCACCAGAGCCTTATTAGACACAAGGTGGCAAATGAACAGGAACAGAAATGACACTTGGTGCCGGCACGTAATTTAGCCACAACAAGTGAAACATCATAGCCAGGATGTGAACTTGCTATGATGCAACAGCAGGGGCCGGGGGCAGACAGTGGGCAGGCACCAGGTAGGGACAGAAGTTGCCAGAGAATGGGAAGGACACTGAAGAGGAGACTACACGTTCTTAGAGATGCTTTTGCGGATCTGACTCCAAAGGCAAGGGAAACGAGCAAAAACAAGTGTGACTACATCGTACTAAAAAGCTTCTGCACAGCCAAGGAAATTATCATCAAAACAAAAAGGCAACCTAGAGAATGGGAGAAGATAACTGCAAACCATGTATCTGATACGGGGTTAAAATACAAAGTATATAAAGTGCTAACACAACTCAACAATAACAAAAAGCAAACAACCCGATTAAGAAATGGGCAGAGGGGCTTCCTTGGTGGCGCAGTGGTTGGGAGTCCGCCTGCCGGTTGCAGGGGGCATGGGTTTGTGCCCTGGTCCGGGAGGATCCCGCGTGCCGCGGAGCGGCTGGGCCCGTGAGCCATGGCCGCTGGGCCTGCGCATCCGGAGCCTGTGCTCCGCGATGGGAGAGGCCGCAGTGGTGAGAGGCAGCATACCGCAAAAAAAAAAAAAAAAAAAAAAAAAAGAAAGAAATGGGCAGAGGATCTAAGTGTCCATCGACAGATGAATGGATAAAGATGTGGCACATACATACAATGGAATATTACTCAGCCATAAAAAGAAATGAAATTGAGTTATTTGTAGTGAGGTGGATGGACCTAGAGTCTGTCATACAGAGTAAGTCAGAAAGAGAAAAACAAATACTGTATGCTAACACATATATATGGAATCTTAAAAAAAAAAAAATGGTCATGAAGAACCTAGGGGCAGGACAGGAATAAAGACGCAGACGTAGAGAATGGTCTTGAGGACATGGGGAGGGGGAAGGGTAAGCTGGGATGAACTGAGAGAGTGGCATGGACATATATACACTACCAAATGTAAAACAGATAGCTAGTGGGAAGCAGCCACATAGCACAGGGAGATCAGCTCGGTGCTGTGTGACCACCTAGAGGGGTGGGATAGGGAGGGTGGAAGACACAAGAGGGAGGAGGTATGGGGGTATATGTATATGTATAGCTGATTCACTTTGTTATAAAGCAGAAACTAACACACCATTGTAAAGCAATTACACTCCAATAAAGATGTTAAATAAATAAATAAACATAATATGTTGCTTTACAAGAAAAAAAAAGGGCTAAACAACAAAAACAAAAAGAAACTGGCAGAGGATCTGAATAGACATTTTTCCAAAGAAGACACACAGATGGCCAACAGGCACATGAGAAGATGCTCCACGTCACTAATTACCAGGGAAATGTAAATCAAAACCACAATGAGATAGCACTTCACACGTCAGAACGGCCATCATCAAAGAGACCACACAAAACAAATGTTGGCAAGCATGTGGAGGAAAGGGAGCCCTCGTGCACTGTTGGTGGGAATGTAAACTGGTGCAGCCACTATGGAGAACAGTACGGAGGTTCCTCAAAAAATTAAGACTAGAATTACCATAGGACCCAGCTATTCCACTTCTGGGTATTTATCTGAAGAAGAGGAAAAACCCTCATTTGCAAAGGTATCTGCACCTCCATGTTCACTACACCGTTATATACAATAGCTAAGATATGGAAGCAACCTAAGGGTCCATTGATAGATAAAGAAGATGTGGTACATACACACAATGGAATATTACTCAGCCATGAAAAAGAACGAAATCTCACCATTTGCAACAACATGGATGGACCTTGAAGGTATTATTCTAAGTGAAATAAGTCACACGTAGAAAGACAAATCCCATATGATTTCACTCCTATTAGAATCTAAAAAGACCCCAAAGAAACGAACAAATACAATAAAACAGAAACAAACTCACAGAGATCAGATCAGTGGTTACCAGAGGGGAAGGGGACCTGGGGTGGTGGTGAAATGGGTGAAGGGGGTCACTGTATGGTGATGGATGGTAACTAGACTTGTGGTGGTGATCACATTGCAGTGTATACAGCTGTTGAATTATAATGCTGTAGACCTGTAACTTATATTAAAAAAAAAGAAAAAGAGAACCACATGCCCGGATAAAGTTCCAGGAATGATCACACAACGGGCCTCAGCATCACAGAGATGTTTGTATTTCTGAGGCTCTTGAAAATTATTTAACAACCCTGCAGTTAATTACTCAGCATTCTGCTTCCCCCATTGGGATGAGGTGTGTGTGAGACGAGAAAACTGTGGAAGGAGTTTGAGGCCCCTCTGAGTCCTCCGATGGGACTCAGGGGTATAAAAGAGTGCTGTCCTGGTAGCAGAGGCTACAGTCCCTCCCCAAACAGTGGCAACTAGCGTGTACTGTTGGCAAGACGTTTACACCATGGACTCTGGAGACCCAGAGTGAAGATAAGAAATCCACGGAGTCGCCAAGTGTAACTATTTTACCCCCAGTGCTCACTGACAGCTGATTCTGTGATTCCCCAAGACCATCACCACTTAGGCTGTAGACAGGGAATGGGCCTCAATGCCAGAGAAAGGAGTTTTGATCAGATACCTGTCTGCAAACCCCACAGCGCCCTGGAAACTGCTGGAAATGGTGCTCCAAAGTGCTTTTAAGTCTGTAAGAACATTTTCACGTCTATTCTTCATTTTCTTCTCAAAACATCCCATGAAGGGATTACTTATCCACACTGATAAGGGCCCTCTGGGTATCTGGAAATTCACAATGCTGGAGGTTCCAAATTTGGACTCGGCAGTCTTCCTGTCCTTTCTAAAACAGCATTCTCAGACTGTAGGAAGAAACTTGAGATTACAAAGCTGGGCAAGCTGGTGTCATAGGTCTGGAATGCAACTCCTGACTCCACTTAGAATGAGTTTCTTAGAGGCTCTGCCTCACCTTTCAATTTATTTTCCCTGAGAAAACTGGTTTCTTTGGTAGGGATGCACAGCCACCTTTCTGGGACCATTTAGTAAAACCCATGTTTTTACATGAAGCTTGGGTTTGGGGGCCGTATGTTTTGAAGAAGCCCTCCAGATTCAAGGTGGAGTTTGCATCTCAGAAGGGGGAGGGGGGGCAGTGTTTTGGAATCTTATGCCCTGAAGTGCCTGCAGAAGGCTCCGTCACTGGCTTGTGCTAGGCAGCCCATGGGTCCCACGACCAGATGCGTTGCCTGGTTCTATTCTGGCCTTTTTCTGTTTTTGTTTTTCTTATGCGACATGTTTGAAGGGGACAAAACAATGAGTGACTGAAATCTAACCAGAGAAAATTCTGCTATTAACTAGGCAGCCTTATCATTAAACACACATGATTTCAAATGAGGCCTTCTATTTACGTTTCACTTCTCTCAAAAGGGTCTGAGAACATCCAGGCTAATCACAGATATAAAATGTAGCTAAGCCCTCCCGAAGGGCACGTATTATAACTAGTTGTTTTGACTTTGAAAATGAGATTCGGTAGGAAAGTGATATCGTGGCTTAATGACAAAGTGCTAAACAGCTCAGGAGTTAGGGGACCTGGGTTCCACTCCTGGCTCTGCCCTGAACCCACCTGGACAAGGTATTGGACCCAGTCAGCCCTATGTTCTTTTCTCTGCAAATAATAGGAGTAATTGAATAAGCTAATGCTGATTTAATGCCTAAGAAGTACAGGCGTGGTTCTGAGAACTGCACGTATATTAGCTCATTTAATCTTCAGGTCAGCCCCTTGAGGTAGTACTGTCAGCATCTCCATTGCACAAAGGGGAAAAGGGAGGCACAGGAAGTTGCATACCTTGCCCCGGGTCACAGAACTAGCACAGGGCAGAGCCAAGACTTAAACCCAGGCACCCGGGCTCTACAGTCTCAACACTCTTAACCAGTGTATTAGTTCCCTATTGCTGCTGTAACGAAGTACCACAGATATAGTGATTTAAAACGACACAAATTTATTATGTTACAGTTCTGGAGGTCGGAAGTTTGGAATGCGTGTCTGTGGGCTAAAACCAAGGAGTCAACAGAGCTGCACCCCTTCTGGAGGAAGGGAAGAATCTATTCACTTGCCTTCTTCAGCTTCCGGAAGTGCCCTGCCTTCCCTGTGCCTCTTCCAAGCCCACAGCGTCGTATTTTCCAATCTCAGACTGACTGCAACCGTTCTTGTGATAACACTGGACCCACCCAGATAATCCAGGATAATCTGTTCAACTCAAGATTCTTAACCACAGCCTCAAAGTCTCTTTTGCTATGAAAGGTTATAGGCTCCTAAATTTGGGGATTAGGTCATGGGTGTCTTTGGGAGGGGGAGATATTCTGTCTACCACAACCATAATACCCTACGAGTCAGAAATTGCAAACTGATGTCCGGTGGGTTGCATTTAACTCTGCAAGTTCTTCTCCTTGCTCAGAGGTTACAGTTTTTTCCCCCCGAATGCCTTTAGAGAGGGTATGTTTGT